TGCTCCGCGTCGACCAATCGGAGCTCTCCTGGCGAAGGCGTGTCACTTCCTCCTCCAGTTTGACGGACAGCTGCTGGGACTCCTGGAGAGGACAGACACACACAGACAGACGGAGAGTAAAGAGTCTAAAAACGCTGTTTTCCTGAATGGAGTCTGGTGTGTGATCATCGTTTACCTCCGTCTGTCTGCTCTGATCTGAGCTCAGCTGTCGGAGAGTCTGGTTCTCCTCCTGAAGCTTCTCTGATACAGACTGCAGATCCTGGAGCTGCCGGAGGAAACAGATCGTATCAGAGAGTGAGTGTGTGTGTGAGTGTGTGTGTGTGTGTGTGTGTGTGTGTGTGTGTGTGTGTGTGTGTGTGTGTGTGTGTGTGTGTGTGTTACAGTGTGTGTGTGTGTGTGTGTGTGTTACAGTGTGTGTGTGTGTGTGTGTGTGTGTGTGTGTGTGTTACAGTGTGTGTGTGTGTGTGTGTGTGTTACAGTGTGTGTGTGTGTGTGTGTGTGTGTGTGTAGTGAGTGTGTGAGTGTGTGTGTGTGTGTGTGTGTGTGTGTGTGTGTGTGTGTGTGTGTGTGTGTGTGTACCTGTTGGTCAGCGCTCTCCAGTCTGTGCTGCCAGCTGTTGAGTGTCGTCTGCAGCAGCTGCAGGACTTCAACAGCAGACGGACTCCAGTTCCCATCATGCTTTGCTGGAGGAGGAGTGCTGTTGTGTTGTTGGAGTGTTTGTCTGATGTGTTTCAAGCAGCTCACAAACGCTTCCTCTGCGTCACGCCGCCGCTTAGTGGCCTGAAACATGAAGAAATGAGTGTGTGTGTGTGTGTGTTTCTGTGTGTGTGTGTGTGTGTGTGTGTGTGTGTGTGTGTGTGTGTTTCTGTGTGTGTGTGTGTGTTACCTGCTCCAGCTGTGTGTGTGTGTTGGCGTGCCGTCTCTCCTCCCCTTCCAGCCTCTCTTTGAGGTCAGAGGTCGTCTTCCTCTCCGTTTCCAAGGCAACGCTCAGGTCAGACTTACACTGCTCGTACTCCTTCTGCAACCTACACACACACACACACACACACACACACACTAGTATTTAAATGTTTCTACTATATTAATTATAGTAACTGTGTTTTGTTTGTTTGGGCGTCCTGAAGGAGTCTCACCGCTCCTGAGCGCGCTCAGTGCTGCTGCTCCTCTCTCTCTCCAGGCTGTAAGCTCTCTCCACCTCCCTGAACTGAGCTCTCAGCAGCTCCAGGCTGCACTGCGCCTCCTGGTGGCCGGACCGCTCCACCGCCAGCGCCGCCTCCACGTCCCGCACCCGCAGCTGCCAGGTCACATGACCACGGTTAGTGTGTGTGTGTGTCGTGTGCGTCTGTGTGTGTGTGTGTGCCTGTGTGTGTGTGTGTGCGTCTGTGTGTGTGTGTGTGTCTGTGTGTGTGTGCGTGTGTGTGTGTGTGTGTGCGTCTGTGTGTGTGTGTGCGTCTGTGTGTGTGTGCGTCTGTGTGTGTGTGTGTGTGTGTGTGTGTGTGTGTCTGTGTGTGTGTGCGTGTGTGTGTGTGTGTGTGTGTGTGTGTGTGTGTGTGTGTGTGTTACCTGGACGATCTCAGAGTTGAATTTAGACTCCAGGTGAGCCGCCCGCTCCGCCTCGATGCTCGACTCCAGAGACTTCACCCTCTGATCTGACAGCTGAAAACACAGACGCAGCTCAGAAACACATCTTCACCTCCTCCTCCTCCTCCTCCTCCTCTTCCTGCTCCTCCTCTTCCTCACCTCTTTCTCCCTCCTGCTCCTCTCCTCTCTCTCCGTCAGGTACTTCAGCTCGTCGGCTTGTCGTCTGTTCACCTCGGCCTCCTTCTCGCTCTCCCTCTGCACCTCCGCCATCCTCCTCTCCGACTCCTCCAGGGCCTCCTCGTGGTCCCGGAGGAGTCGGTGCAGTCGGCGGCTCTCCGAGCTCAAGCTCTTAATCAGCCCGTCTCGCTCCTCCACCTCCTGCCGCAGTGCACGCTGGTCCTCCTGCCTGGCCTGCTGGGTGATGTCCAGAGCTTTCTGCAGCTCCTGGACGGCGTGCTGGAGCTCCGCCGCACGCTCTGACACACACACACACACACACACACACACACACACACAGTAAGCACTTCCTGTTAACACTGCTCTCTTTCTAGAGGGTGCGTTTGATTTACGTACCTGTGAGCGCGTCTTTGTCCCGGCTGAGCTCGGAGGCCCGGTCTGCGTCTCTCCGGCTCACCGTCAGCTGGTACTGGAGCTCCACCCGCTGAGCTTCTCCTCGCTCCACCGACGACCTCAGCCGGGTCAGCTCCGCCTGCAGCCTGCACAGCTGGAACAAACACACACCTCAAACAGCCGGTGGCGAGCGTACGAGTGACTCCCTCTCTGCGCCCCCTAAAAACAACACGAGTGGGGGTGTAGACGAGGAGGAGTTCTGTCTCACCTCCTGGTTGTGGCCGGACGTCAGCTCCAGCCTCTCTTTCTCCAGCTGGTTGACTCTCCACCTCAGCCTCTCCGACGGCTCGCCTCCTTCCGACGCCGTCCTCCTGCTCCTCGCCTCCCTCCCGCTCCTTCCTCCCCCGTCCCCCCGGCTCCTGTCCCTCCCTCGCTGCTCTTCCACTCGCTCCCTTTCCGCCCGTCTTCCTCCTCTTCCTCCTGCCTGCTCCTCTTCCTGTTGCATGGCGCTGATTATAACTTTCGACCTGAAAAACGTTGCTCTCTGTGTTTATACTGGATACAGTTTATATATAATAATAATCTATATGGACGATGGAGGGCTTATTGAGGATGCAGAATCAATTCCTCACATTTATTTAAAATACTAAATGGCAGTTTAATCCACATTTTAACCCCCAGTGTGCTGATTTTCTTTCATTTCAGAGCATTGTGGAATGAAGGGAGCTCAGTGTTGTTGGTGTGAATGTTCACACGTAATATTTCTTTAATGCAAATAAACATTGTGTCACTGACGTCTTTACTGCTGCTGTTACATATTAATCACATAAATCAAAATCAGCCCACCAGGAGTTGAAATATGGTCGCCTGTGGTTTAAAACATTGTCCAGATTAATATAAATTGATTATTAACTATATATTGATTATTAACTATATATTGATTATTAACTATATATTGATTATTAACTATATATTGATTATTAATGAGAATTAACCAACAGGTTAGCATCTGTTCCAAATGTTTATTTCTAACATTAAACTTTATAAAGCTCCAAAAAACATATATAGTGTAAGGGGCAGTTACTGTGTAAAGGGGCAGTACGGTAAAGGGGCAGTACGGTAAAGGGGCGTTACAGTGTAAAGGGGCGTTACGTGTAAGGGGCAGTTACTGTGTAAAGGGGCAGTTACTGTGTAAGGGGCAGTTACTGTGTAAAGGGGCAGTTACTGTGTAAGGGGCAGTTACTGTGTACCTTGCCACCTCCACCTCCTCCTCGGAGCTCCCCCGCGGCTCCGCTCCGCCCTGCCCGCTCTCCCCTCGCCCTCGGCGGACGGGCCGTCTCCTCCGCCCCGCTGGTTCGGTCTGCATGGTCCTTTAACAACCCTGAAGATATCTCAGATTATTATATTAATATTATATTAATATTATATATTAATATAAATGATCAGTTATTATAAACGAGCCTTTGCTCAGCAGCTGTGAGCCCCTGCAGGCTGTGTCGGTACCGGGGGGGGGTCGGTTGCTCGGATGCTGCTGTTGCCTTGCCAGCAGACGCACTCACATGAAGCCAGTCTCCGTTTATAAATCAATCCAGTGGAAACTCTCCTTAATATCTGCCGCGTTATACACATTATATTACAGGATTAAAGATTATTTATGAACCGGTCGGATTAACTTCACACTTCGGCGGCCGTTAGAAACACATAGCATCCCTAATTTCTAACGTTACATCATTTATATAACTCACAGTCTCTGATGCACGAAGCGCTGTAGCTGTTACCGCTGAGATTTAAATATAACGTTATATAAATATATATTAAGTGCTGCTCGGTGAATCTACTGTAGGCCGAATTCACCAGAAACCTCTAAAGATTCTCGGGATATTTAAGGTGTTTGTATGTTTTGTCTACATTTAAGTCAGTCGACAAGACAATGTTAAAATCTTACAATTCGTGAATGGAGTTCTGTTCTCATACGATATTCAACCCGAACAAAGACCCGTTTCACGGTTAAAACTCGACAGTTACACGTTTGTTTGCTTTAAACTAACTTTAACCAGCAGCAGAGAGTCTAAACAACACACTTACATTAAAACATTTATTTATAAAACGTGTAAATCGCTCGCAGTGAACTTTTATAAACACTTACAGTAACATTTATCCAGGAGCCGTTTGAATATGACGCCATCTTTAGCGTCCCTGCGTCACTTCCGCATTACCGTTTGATTGGCTGGATAGCCGACCAATGGCGAGGGCCCACTGTGGTACGTCATATATTTATTTATTTAAATTAGATCCGTTTGTAAACAAATATGAGCGCGAGCTTATTGTTTACTTTATCTGTTAAATTACTCCTTTCATTATTGTCTTCCTTTATTTTATATGTTTACATTATTATTTATTTATGTTTATTTATTTTATTATGATTTATTTGTTTATTTTTATTATTTATTTATGTTTATTTTATGTTTATTTATTTTATCATGATTTATTTGTTTATTTTTATTATTTATTTATGTTTATTTTATGTTTATTTATTTTATCATGATTTATTTGTTTATTTTTTATTATTTATTTATGTTTATTGTATGTTTATTTAATTTATCATGATTTATTTGTTTATTTTTATTATTTATTTAAAGTTAAAAACATGATAAATATATAAATAAATATTATAATATCTAACAACAATATATATAGAACATGGAAATAATATATAAAATAAGAGCATGAACTGTGTACATTAGATACATGAGAATATATAGCAGATCAATAATAAATAATAATTATTGATTATTGACTTTACACTAGAGGGCGGTATCAGCCCTGTTCGCTGCCTTTTATTCACCGGAGAAGAAGAAAGAAAGACAACAACATGGCGGCGCCCTCAGAGCACGTTGAACCACCAGAACCCGAGTCAGCAGAGACCACCAGAGACCCGGAGACCGCAGACACCTCAGACTCGGAACCAGCAGCCCAGGACCCGGACGAGGACCCGGATGAGGACCCGGATGAGGACGAGCCGCCCGGACCCAGGACCCGAGAGACCCCGGAGGACATCCGGCTGGAGGCCATCGCCAACACGGTGGCTCTGCACCCGAACCGAGACCTCCTGGTCTGCGGGGACGTGGACGGGGACGTGTACGCGTACTCGTACTCGTGCACGGAGGGCGGGAACCGGGAGCTGTGGTCGTCCGGACACCACATGAAGTCCTGCCGCCAGGTGCGGTTCTCCGCGGACGGGCTGAAGCTCTACAGCGTCTCCCGGGACAAAGCGGTCCACCTGCTGGACGCGGAGCGGGGCCAGCTGGTCACCAGGATCCGCGGGGCGCACGGAGCCCCCATCAACAGTCTGCTGCTGGTGGACGAGAACATCCTGGCCACCGGAGACGATGGAGGCACCCTGAAGGTCCAGATGGGTCCTAATTAATCCAGATTGTGATCCATGCTGGTCTTTTATAGTCCCTGCTGGTCCCTGCTGGTCTTTAATGGTCCCTGCTGGTCTATGCTGGTCTTTAATGGTCCCTGCTGGTCTATGCTGGTCCCTGCTGGTCTTTAATGGTCCCTGCTGGTCTATGCTGGTCCCTGCTGGTCTTTAATGGTCCAAGCTAGTCTTTAATGGTCCAAGCTAGTCTTTAATGGTCCAAGCTAGTCTTTAATGGTCCATGCTGGTCTTTAATGGTCCAAGCTAGTCTTTAATGGTCCTTGCTGGTCTTTAATGGTCCATGCTGGTCTTTAATGGTCCATGCTGGTCTTTAATGGTCCAAGCTAGTCTTTAATGGTCCATGCTGGTCTTTAATGGTCCAAGCTGGTCTTTAATGGTCCAAGCTGGTCTTTAATGGTCCATGCTGGTCTTTAATGGTCCATGCTGGTCTTTAATGGTCCAAGCTAGTCTTTAATGGTCCATGCTGGTCTTTAATGGTCCAAGCTGGTCTTTAATGGTCCATGCTGGTCTTTAATGGTCCAAGCTAGTCTTTAATGGTCCATACTGGTCTTTAATGGTCCATGCTGGTCTTCAATGGTCCAAGCTAGTCTTCAATGGTCCATGCTGGTCTTTAATGGTCCAAGCTAGTCTTTAATGGTCCAAGCTAGTCTTTAATGGTCCATGCTGGTCTTTAATGGTCCAAGCTAGTCTTTAATGGTCCATGCTGGTCTTTAATGGTCCAAGCTAGTCTTTAATGGTCCATGCTGGTCTTCAATGGTCCAAGCTAGTCTTCAATGGTCCATGCTGGTCTTTAATGGTCCATGCTGGTCTTTAATGGTCCAAGCTAGTCTTTAATGGTCCAAGCTAGTCTTTAATGGTCCATGCTGGTCTTTAATGGTCCTTGCTGGTCTTAAATGGTCCATGCTGGTCTTTAATGGTCCATGCTGGTCTTTAATGGTCCAAGCTAGTCTTTAATGGTCCATGCTGGTCTTTAATGGTCCAAGCTGGTCTTTAATGGTCCATGCTGGTCTTTAATGGTCCATGCTGGTCTTTAATGGTCCAAGCTAGTCTTTAATGGTCCATGCTGGTCTTCAATGGTCCAAGCTAGTCTTCAATGGTCCATGCTGGTCTTCAATGGTCCATGCTGGTCTTAAATGGTCCATGCTGGTCTTTTAATGGTCCCAAACTGTGTTGTCAATGGTCCCAAATTTAGTAAAATGATGTTAATGATCGGTTCCTATCATCAGTTCCTCTGAAAGGTCGGACTCTGCTGGTCTGTTGGTGGTTGAAGGAAGCCGCTGTCACTTTAAATATCTTGTTTTTTGTTTGTTGTTGTTTATGTTTGTCTCTGAAGGTTTGGGATATGAGGAAGGGGACGGCCATCATGGATCTGAAACACCACGAGGATTACATCAGTGACATTGCTGTGGACCAGGCCAAGAGGATCCTGCTCACTGCCAGGTGATGATTATGACCCCAAAAAAACTGATTTGTGCAAAGCAGACCATTATTTTCAAGTAACCAGCTTCTTGGTGCTTTCAAGGGACCTTTGACATCTGAGAGTTTAGTCTCAACCCTCAAACCTTGTATGTCGTAGAGTCCTTGAACACACCAACAAGCAGAGTTGGTCTACAATGGTTGAACCTGAGCTCTAACGTGATGTAATCGGATACAGTGGCGACGGTACGATGGGCGTCTTCAACATCAAGAGACGGCGGTTCGAGCTGCTGTCGGAGTTCCAGAGTGGCGACCTGACCTCGGTGGCGCTGATGAAGCGGGGCAGGAAGGTGGTTTGCGGCTCCAGCGAGGGGACCATCTACATCTTCAACTGGAACGGCTTTGGAGCCACCAGCGATCGCTTCGCCATCAAGGCCGAGTCGGTGGAGTGCATCGTCCCCATCACGGACAACATCATGTGCACCGCCTCCATGGACGGGTACATCCGGTGAGTCCACCTGTAGTTTCTCTTTGTTGGACAAATCAGTGAAGGTTTGATTATGTTGGTCCATGTTGATGTTTTGATGATCCAAGCTGGTTTGTCAATGGTCTACGGTTACTAAAATGGACTACGCTGGTCTTTTGAAAGCCCTCCTCTGGTCTAATGGTCCAACCAGTGGATGTTTTGATAGTCTAAAATGGTTTCTTAATGCTCTCAAATGGTCTTTTGATGGTCCAAGATGATGTGGAGAGAGTTTCTTAATGGTTCACTGTTGCAATCAATGGTGAGTCCAACACTCGCACACTACCAAATTAAAGTAAAATTTGTTTTTTGTGGGACAAATCAGTGGAGGTCACCACAGCATCTTACGTTTGATTCCCTTCTTATATCCACTCTTTGCTATTTGCTTTTGACTTAGTCCAGTCTGGAACCAGTCTGGAACCAGTCAGGAACCAGTCTGGAACCAGTTGGAGATTGGTCTGTTAGTTCGCTCTGTATTTGTTACCAAACGTTTCTCACCAGACGTTACCAACATGTCATAATGTGATAGTAAAGTTCTGTCTGTCCTCCATCAGAGCCGTCAACCTCCTCCCCAACCGGGTCATCGGCTGCATCGGGCAGCACGTCGGCGAACCCGTCGAGGAGCTCGCCAAGTCCTGGGACGCCCGCTTCCTGGCCAGCAGCGCACACGACCAGCTCATCAAGTTCTGGGACATTTCCAGTTTACCCAACACGACCGTCAACGAATACCGCAAGAGGAAGAAGAAAGACGGCCGAATGAAGTCCCTCACCAAGAAAGCCCACGGAGACAATGACTTCTTCTCAGGACTGGTAGAGGAAACAGAAAAGAAGGAGGAAGAGGAGGAAGACGAGGAGGAGGAGGACAGTGACAGTGGCAGCGATTAAAAAGCAGCTAGTTTCATATTTGAAATGTGTCGTTGCCTTCGGACATTTTAGTCCCTTATAAGTGACGTGTTATAATCCAAAGTGATGTGTGGGGTCGTCAGCGGGAACCGAACTGATCTCCACATTGACTCCGTGTTGGTCTGAACCACCACTGATGACGGTTCACGAATGTCGGGATGAGGTTTATTTCCTCACAGACACAAATGTGTGGTTGGATGAGCAGCGAGTACTTGCTTTCATTCACACTGACTGTTGAACACTAAAACAATGTGATGGAAGGACGTACATAATTCAAAAGTGTAGTTCATCTTGTGTTTAGAAAACATAAATGAACTTTTTTTTTTTTGTTTTTTGGAAGAACTCTTCAAAGTAGTTTTGGTATCGGTACCGAAACTCCGGTATTGTGTTGGAACAACAAGCCCTACGTAAATCTAACAGGCAGAGACAGCAGCATTTATAACCTGTCTGCTGGGTACATTTGTGGATGAATGTATTTGTATTAAATTCAATTCACCAACATTAAAGCATTTTAACTACACTAGAATTTATTTAACTCGTCATTGTTCAAATGGTTGCAATCTGAAACTTGACCATTAATGGTGCGTCCCATTGGGTTGACGATGTTCTAGTACAGCGAGTGGGGAAACCAAGCCCTACCACGTTGTCCATTAACGTCTGTTTGTAATATTAGTTGATAAAACGCGTTTCGCTGTATTTTGCTTTACAAACGTTCACATGAGACACAGAAGTGCTAACAGACGGTATATTACTACACCTGGGGCAGCCATCTTATACTATATAACTATAAATAAGTTACAGAATATGTTTTTTTATATATTATATTATATTATTGTGTGTATTTGTTTATAGTTGTTGATATAAGTGGGTCTAAATGAGTATATAAATATAAAGTATTGACTGGTTCAAACGGAACGCACCATAAAGACACACTGGCCCTTTAAGTCTGTAATTATATTAGTTCACAAGAGGAAACGACATTAACTTACAACTAAAGTTCTTTATACCTCAAAAATCATTCTTAAGTAATTATGTATTATTTTTACGTACAGAAATACCGGTATTTTACACTCTGCGCCCCCCCCTGCGGTAGTACAGTGGTACAGTCCTACAGCAGGCGCCAAAAACGCCGACCGTCACGTGACACGAGTGGCGTGTACCAACATGGCGGCGAGCAGGAGCGCGTAGCTTAGTAACAAGAAGCCTCGCGCGGTACCGAGGAAGCACCGGGTCCGTTTACACACCGAGGAGTACCGTCCGGTTGTCGGTGAGTCCGCCCGGTACCGTCCGGTTAATGAACCCGGTTCTATAATGAACGTAGATCTTAATCCGGATATCAGCTAGCAGAGGTTAGCTTCAGTGCTAACGTTTGTAAACAATGAGAGAAAGCTGCTTCCGGTGTCCGCACAGGCTCAGAGGAGGGTTAGATCCGCAGACACTGCAGACAGACAGCTGCAGACAGACACTGCAGACAGACAGCTGCAGACAGACACTGCAGACAGACAGCTCAACAGACATCAGACAGCAACCAACAGACAGCTCGACAGACAGCGCACAGACTCACACAGCCAACAACAGCGCAGACAACACCACAACAGCCAAAAATAACAGACACTCAGCAACACAGACACAGCTCAGACGACACTGCAACAGACAGCTGCAGACAGACAGCTGCAGACAGACACTGCAGACAGACAGCTGCAGACAGACACTGCAGACAGACAGCTGCAGACAGACAGCTGCAGACAGACACTGCAGACAGACAGCTGCAGACAGACAGCTGCAGACAGACACTGCAGACAGACAGCTGCAGACAGACACTGCAGACAGACAGCTGCAGACAGACAGCTACCCTCCACTAATGGACCTACAGAGACAGAGCGTCTCTGTGTGTGCACATCCAGCTCTACGGGGATCAATAAGGGTCGACAACTGATCAATAAGGGTCGACAACTGATCAATAAGGGTCGACAACTGATCAGAACAATCAGTTTATACCAACTGTAAACAGTAAACAGCAGTAAACAACAGTAAACAGCAGTAAACAACAGTAAACAACAGTAAACAACAGTAAACAGCAGTAAACAGTAAAAGTAAACAACAGTAAACAACAGTAAACCTCAGTAAACAACAGTAAACAGCAGTAAACAGCAGTAAACAACAGTAAACAGCAGTAAACAACAATAAACATTTCTATATTTTTCCTGCCTCTCTGTGAGAGCTGTGGACGTACTGGACGAGGTTTGATGTTTGACATCTGTCACTAAATCCTGTTTATATGATTATTTGTGTATTTTGTGTATTTTGTGGGTTTGAATTGGTGATTATTTCCCATCAGGTGAAATAAAAGAACCTAAACACAGAAGTTCTTGTGATATAAAGTCAAACAAGGTATTAAAGGTCTTACATATTGTTTCTAGCCTCCTGTTAGCAGTGGTGTTAATTATAGCAAACACTGAAAGCCATAAAATCCTCAAACTATTATTCCAAACCTCTGACTTTTTATATAAAATTCATATTTAGATGTTCATTAATTAGCTTTTTTAAATAGTTAATTCACCCATCAAAGCTGATTTTCCAATAAAATTATGAGAAAAAGACACAATTATGCTCCTTTAAACTATTTTAAATTTCAAATTTCATAATAAAAACACATTTTTAAGATATTTAAATGTATTATTTAAATAATAATTTATACAGTAGAAGGTTAAACAGGTAATAAACTGCATTTAATGTGATATTAAAATGTCATTTCCAGCTCGTACTCTGCCTCAGTCTCTGCTCTCTTTCAGGCTCTGAAGCAGCAGGATGCCGGGGAAACCTGGTGACCACTTCAAACCAGGAGACCTGGTGTTCGCCAAGATGAAGGGTTTCCCTCACTGGCCTGCCAGGGTGCGCAAACACAAACACACAAACAAACAAACAAACAAACACATACATGGTTGTATATGTCAGTCCCTGTAATACTCCTGTGTGTGTTCAGGTCTGTAAGTCGGACGACGGATACAAGAAGCGAGTCCCGGTCTATTTCTTCGGGACCCATCAGATGTACGTGCACACACACACACACACACACAGCCGATCAGTTCATTGATTGAACCGTGATTGATCTCCGCTCCTCCCTCAGAGGTCACCTCCCGCCGGAGAACATCGTTCCTTACATCGGCAACAAGATGAAGTACGGCAGCGGCGTTCGCATCAAAGGCTTCACCGAGGGAATGTGGGAGATCCAGAACACGCCGGGAGTCGGGAGCAAACTCAAAGTCAGTGACAGAAGATGTAAAAGAGACATAGCCTCAGATTTTAGGCTGTTTTAAACTGGTTTAAATAATAGGTTTTAACCTGCAAAATAGGTTTTGAACTGCAGTCATACTGTGTCTGACTTACTGATTAATAAACTATAAAGCTTTCAATCAACAGAATTAATCAGAGAAATGGTTTTAATAGATCTTTTCTGTACTCAGGTACCAGCACCAACCAACAAACAAACCACACCCCCTAAATCGACCTCTGCCTCTAAAGCTACACCTGCAAAACTGACCACTGCTGCTAAAGCTACACCTGTTAAACTGACCTCTGCGAAGCCCGACAGTAAACCGGCTGCTGCTGCTGTGGCTAAAACTCCTACCAGATCTTCGTTAAGATCCGCTCCAGAGAAAACAACAGACTCGGGGCAGATTTCTAAACAGGCTCCGACTTCAGAAGACGTCGCCCCGACAGATTTGTCCGGGACTGTTGCGAATACGAGGAGCAGAAGGGCAGCTGCTAGCGTCGCCCCGTCTGCTAACACCACTCCTACAGACAGTAAGGAGGTAAGAGGGATACAGGAATTAAACTGTTTATATCTCTGAGAGCGTTCGATTGATACCAAATCTGTTATCGATCAGCACGATGAAGATGAATAGTTGTACAAGACTTGTTGGTATCTTATTTAGTTTTCAAGATATTGACCAATGAGCTAAAAAGACACAAGTCAACAGCTTTTACACCAACAGGAACCTTTTTGTGATATTTATTGAATTTCCACACAAAAAACGTTTCTTCAGGAAAACTTTAAAGAAACAATAAAGTCCACTTACTTGTGTTTTCCACCATAAGTTTAAGAATGAAACCGTCAGAGGTGCTGATGTCTGTTGCTGCCTGGAGGTCAAACTGACCTGTGGAAATTAAATACAGTTAAACACTTTGTCTCCTCAGGCAGCAGCAAAAACGGCGAAAACAAAAGCTCTGTCCAAACCGACTGAGAAACCGACTCCTGCAGATGCTACAGACAATAAACCAACTGAATCAACAACTACGAGGAGAGCTGCGGCTGAGAAGAAAACTCCAGACTCCAAACAAGGAGTCAACGAGAAGGTTGAATTATCATCAACTTCCACCACTACAGTTACTGAAGAGGCTACAAGCGCCGTCACTACCAGGAGCAAAGTATCCGAGTCCAAGGTAACTACAAGAGCTGCTCGTACAAATACTGAGGACCGACTGATCTGGTTCAACATTTAGAATAACTGGCATTGGATTATAACTAAGTACAGTTTTGACGTATTTGTATTTACATTTTATTCTTCTTTATATTTCCACTCAAATACATTTTGGAGGCAAATATTGTAAATTAATTTAATAATGTTAGTTACAAGTTACTTTGCAGATTCACATTAATATATATAAAATAATATTTATATTAATATAAATCAACTAATACATTATGATGTATTGTTATAGATTAAGCTATAAATTAATTAATTAGCTCCACATTTAGCAGCTACAATATTCAATAATGATAGTAATCAGGGTTATTAGTGTGTTAAGAAGTAATTATATACATATATATACTCAGTATCGACCAAAACACAAAGTTCAGATATCAGGGAGGAAGAAATGGTTTCAGAATATCTGTAATTTATTTTGTCGGGAATCAGATTATTAAATAATAATCGGACAAATGCTGAATATCGGTTCTGAGCACGGCAGCACAAACACACAATTAATCCGACCTCCGTTTCACTTCTATAACTTTGAACTGCGGGACGGTTTCCTGGACGAGCCCCCATTTATGTTACGACTCGACTCTGGAAAGAAAGAAATATAAAACAAAGATGTCAGAATAATTCTTACAAACATAAATCTGTCTCTCCATCTCAAAGCTGTATATTTTTTGAATACGATGGGCGACTGCAGCAAATTTTATTATTATTACCATTATGTTAACTTAAGATGGGAAGTTCGACGTTGCACTAATATAACCTTTCATTTAATGTCCTGTTAGAAACCAGCTAACATGTTGTTGATGGTCGAGTTGACGTCGGTCTTTAGATTAATTCTGTGTGTTTTTTGTCAGGATGTCACTGAGCAGAACAAGAGGAGGTCTTCTGCTACTCCTGCTGTCGCTCCAGGTAACTAACACAGGCTGCCAATAATCAATAATCACATTAATCAGTTCTTCTCAGGATCAATAAAAGGGCACAAACTCAGGTCAGGTGTGTTTTTTCTACAACAGTCAGCAAGAAACTGAAGACGACAGAATCAAAGTCTGCACCGACACAAATGTCCAAGAACAACAGAGGAATGAAAGACCGGGAGGAGGAAGAGGAGGAAGAGGAGGAGTCATCAGAGAGACAGAGAGTCAAGAGGAGGAGAGAGCGGAAGGAGGTGCAGACGAAGAAAAGTCAGGACGGCAGCGAAGGAAAGAAAGAAGAGACATCAGAGAGCAAAAGAACAAAAAGTAAAGAGGAGGAGGAGAAAGGGAAGAAAATAAAGCAGGACGAAGGTGTGGAAGGAAAGAAGTCAGCAGAGAGCCGAGGGATAAAGACGAGGAGGGCGGAGAAAGAGGAACAGAAGGAGGAGGAGACGAAGAAAAGAAAACAAGAAGGCAGCGAGGAAAAGAAAGAGGAAAGGACGAGGAGAGAAACTCGGTCGGAGAGCGAAGGAAGAAAAAGAGAAAAGGAGGTTTCAGAAGAGAGCCGGGGAACAAAGAGAAAGAGGGAGGAAGAGATGAAGAGAACAAAGGAGGCTGGAGAGGAAGGAAAGAAAGAAGAGAAGACGACTGAGGAAGAGGAGGAGAAGGAGGGCAGTTCTGTGGACGAGGAGGTAAAACTTTCTCTTCACCTCATTCAACTTTTAACTAATTAACTAAATTACATCAACGTTTAAATCTAATGCTACAAAAACAGATAAAATAAAATAAACATTAATTTAACAACAAAGGCAATAAAATCCCTAAAAATATTAACTCACATTAGTTTAAAGACGTAATGTAACAATGTAAAATGTCCAGAAATATAATTTATATAAATGAAAGCTGCAGGCAGCTTTGGGCAGGACCTCGCACTCCGCGCAACTCGGGGTGTGCTGCGTGCCGTTGTAACACTTGCAGACCACAACATGAACATTTCACGTAAATCAGCTCAGAATCGCCACGCAGCGCTTACCTCCTGTTGCCAGTAGGTGGCGCTATCACTATGTCTGAATGTTGTCATGTAGACATGTTCAAGGCGAGAGTGTTATCAAACGTGAAGTTTCATTGAGATTGGACCACGTACGCTGAAGTTATGAGGACGTGTTCAGGGCAAAACTGTTTCAGAATATATTAAGTTTATTGTACATTGCACACTGAAGTTATGAGCACTGTTTTTTATGTTCACCATTTTTTGACTGTACTCACAAATTTTGAAGCAGATCCGATAAATTCCCTAGGAGGAGTTCGTTCGTTTTGTACGTCCCGGCATGTTACACGTGCCTACTGAGTTTCGTACATATCGGTGAAACGTGGCGCCGGGGCTGCTGTTTTTAAATCCTGTAGGGGGCGCTACAAACACGACAAACACGATTTTTGGTATGTGAGCTTCAGGCACCACTGTACACGTGCCCTGTGAATTTCATATTCATACCTATTACGGTCTCCGCATGCCACCAGAGCGCCAAGCATCGTACCAAGTTTTGTTTTAATCACACATGCCGATGCGGAGATATAAACTTCTTCATTTTAAAGAGCGCCACCTTGTGGCGATGGCCTGAAATTGTGCACGATGCTTAAGGAAGACATGGGGAATTACGGACCCAAGTTTGGTGTCAATCAAACATACCAATGTGGAGAAATGGTCCACTTCCTTTTTTAATGAAAAATCCACAGGAAGTGCTAATTTTATATTGTGCTTATTTTTTGAAATATCAAAATTCTTTTAATCACTTTTTCATTATGAGGGTCCTCAGATGCTACGTGAAAAATGATGTGCAAATCGGACAAAGCGCATGGGAGGAACACAGAAAAAGTAGTTTTTGGACATTTTTTTTGTTGTTTTTGGACTCTAGAAAAAAAAAATCTAGGCGGAAGTGGGCGGGGCCTATATGGGGAGATTCAGCTCCATTCACCGAACGCGTGGATATAAGTTTGAATGTGCGACAAACTATGCAGAAGTTATTAGCCTAAACGCATTTTTTATGATAGTAGCGCCACCTAGTGGCCGACCCGAAAGTGACACATAGAATATCCCCATTTTCACCAGGCCTGACCACTTTGCCAAATAAAATTGAGTTTTCGTTTATGTTCAGGGGGGCAAAAATGCAGTCAAAGGGGGCTGAAAATAATAATAGGAAGAAGAATAAGAATAGGTAAGAAATCGACCTCCAGCGAAATATAATAAAACAATAACATTGATTCTTTCATGTGCAGCGACAGCGCCACCTGGCGGCCAAGAGGGAGAGTTTACTGAAATCTCTGAGAGGTCTGCTGAAGGCCGGGAGAGTAACGAGGAAGAGCGAGGCGATGAAGAGCTCGCAGTAAGAGACATACACACACACACACACACACACACACACACACACACACACACTCACTTTGAATTAGTTAAAATAGCTAAAAGTCTCTTTTAAAATCTCGTCAGGAAAAGCGGCGACGGAGCAAAGAAGAAGGTCGAGATTAAAAAGACAGGAAGTCAGAAGATGCCGGACAGGATCAAAGAATCGACCGTCGTCAAGAAAACAGCGTTCGTCGGCAGAACGATCGCCAGCAGGAAAGCGTCGGAGAGGAAGGAAGACAAGACAGACTCCAAGATGGTGAAAAAATCAACGGAGGTCCAACAGAAAGAAAAGATAAAAGAGGCAAAGAAGGATGAACAGACTGATCGAACCACGAGGAAGAGTGCGTACGGAGCGAAGACCAAAGAGAAGGAAGACGAGACGAAGCACGAGGGAAAGAAAGACGAGGACGCGAGGAGCGACGAGACGAAGAACGAGAGGAAAATCATCGGGAAGATTGTGAAAGCGTCGGCCGGGCGGGGAACGAGGGTTCAGGTGAAGATGATGATGGGAGGAGCGGCGGCGGCAGCGGCGGCAGCGATGGCGACGGCGGGAGCGACAGCAGCGGCAGAGGAAAAGAAAAAAGAGAAGAAAGAAGAGAAGAAAGAGGAGAGGAAAGAAGAGAAAGAGGAAAAGAAAGAAGAGAAGAAAGAGGAGAGGAAAGAGGAGAAGAAAGAGGAGAGGAAAGAAGAGAAGAGCAGAGAAGAGAACATAGAAAGCAACAAGGTAGAAGACAAGAAAAAGAAAGAAACAGTTGAAGAAAAGAAATCTGACGACGGGAAGACGGAAAGAAGCAAAGAGGCCGAGAGGAAGTCCGACAGAACGAGAGCAGAGAAGAATCTAACGGAGAAAGCAGACGAGGAAACAACGGTGACGAAGAACGAAGAGGAGCAGAAAGCGAACTTGCAAGAGGAGAAGAACGAAGACGAGGCGGAGAGAGTGACGACCAGAGAATCACAAGAGGAGAAGAACGAAGGCGAGGCGGAGAGAGTGACGACCAGAGAATCACAAGAGAAGAAGAACGAAGACGAGGCGGAGAGAGTGACGACCAGAGAATCAGAAGAGGAGAAGAACGAAGACGAGGCGGAGAGAGTGACGACCAGAGAATCACAAGAGGAGAAGAACGAAGACGAGCAGACGAAGGAAACGGACGCAGAGTCTGAGCCAAATCCCCCGAAGAAGAGCGCAGACACAGCGACCGCACAGAGGACGGAGACACAGTCCAAAGAAGAAGAAAAAGCGGAGAAGACGAGCGCGGAAGAAGAAAGTAAAACGAAGTGCGGCGAGTCGGACGGAGGGACGTCGGAGCCGCCGGCAAAGCAGCAGCAGAAGAAGAGTTCGACTTTGACGCTGACGGACTCGACGCTGCACCGAATCCACGGAGACATCAGGATTTCTCTCAAGACCGACAACCCCGTAAGACCCGTTCACACACCGGTTACTAAAGATCTAATCAATCAATCAATCAGCACAAATATACAGAATGTGGGACATTTAAGAAAAACCTCATCACAGATTAAATGATTATATTACAGCGTGATAGAATATAAATCGTTTCGTATCTGAAGCCATAAAAAGGGGATTTCACATCATGATTGACAGCTGATCACGAGCTCTACGCTGCGTCTCACATAATCAATCACAGAGTGTCTCTTCTCTGCAGCTTGAGTTCTAAAAAGCGACAAATTTAGCAACTTATTGAGGTGCCTAACTATCTAACAGAAGCTGCTTTACTGTCCATCAGGAAACTCTGACTGACTTGCTGCCGTAAAGCGAAACTTATTTTAAAGCAGAAACGTTTGTTAACTTTTACTTTAACCACTGACACTCCATAAAAAACAGTTTCTGTTTGCCTTCCAGGACGTCAGTAAGTGTCTGATGGTGCTGGATCAGCTCAGTATGGTTTACGTGACGTCCAAACACGTGCAGCGACACAGCGAGCTGGTGTCCACGCTGAGAAAGGTACGGCAGAGATTAACGTAGGCGGTCATCGCGGCCGCACGCGCTCACTAACGACCTGTGTTTAATGTGCAGCTGCGCTACTACAGAGCCAACCAGGCCATCATGGACAAAGCCTCCATGCTCTACAACCGCTTCAAGAACGCCTTCCTGGTGGGGGAGGGCGAGGAGGTGGTGAGCGCCGCCTTCCTGCGCTCGCTGCTGGAGGAGAAGGAGGAGGAGGAGGCGGAGAGGGCGGAGCGCTGGAGGGAGAGGAAGGAGGAGCTGCTGCAGGAGGTGAAGAGACGCATGGGCCAGGTGAAAGGGAGGAGGAGGGCCGACGGGGGAGAAGGAGGAAGAGGAGGAGGGGAGGAAGAGGAGCCGGAAGCAGAAGGTGAATTAATAATAATCAGAGTCTAAGTGAATAATAAAATCTATAAATGTTAAAGAAAGTAAAGAAAATAAAGACAATAACAACTCAACGGACTCTTTGTCCATCACAAACACCGATCGAAAGTTTTGTTTATTTTTTTTTATTAAACTATAGTTGTCGGGCGCCCGGTTAGCTCAGTGGGTAGAGCTGGCGACCCATGTACGAGGCTCAGTCCTTGCTGCAGCGGCCCAGCGTTCGAATCCGACCTGCGGCCCTTTGCTAAAATATGTGACAACAATAAAAACAAACTGTCAATTAGAGTACATTGTAATAATTTTTTTGCACTGTATGATTTTTTAGTTTCTAAAAGTTGTCAAATATTTTTTTAAATCAATACAAAAATAAAAATAATAAATATATTTTATATATATGTTTATTAAAAATAATAAATTATTGGCTTTTAATAAAACTGTTATGACTCATAATGGTTGTTTATTATTTGTTTGTTGTTTATTGTTTGTTGTTTACCCCCTTCACAGCTCCAGTGGACTCTTCCTGAAGCAGCTTGGACTGAACCAACTGTATTATCTGAGGGGTGTGGACCTGAACCCCCCCCCCAACCCACACAGGCAATGAGCAGTTCCACAAACATTATTTACCTCATCACACACACACACACACACACACACACACACACACACACACACACACACACACACACAGCTGTTTATTTACTGATTATTTATTTCCTGTCTTTATATCAGAGTTCATTAACGGAGTTCGTCAGCTGCCGTATGTTCGCATTAGTAGTGTTTATCTGTCTTTCATTGTTACCTGAGAATTAACGTTACCTGTCGAACACTCACCTGTCTCTCTCCAACCCGCCCACATGTACAAGATGGACGTCTCCACTTCCCTCAGCTGTCAATCATGATATAAAACCTCCAGTTTATAGCTTCAGATAACATTTAAACATCATTAAAACCACATTTATCAGAAACATTTACACTACAACATAAATTATAGTTTATTTATTGTGTTGGTTTTATGTTATTAAATAACTTGCATATGGTGTTCAATTAGTATAATTAGCATTAATAATCAGCCATATTTCAGCAACTGTCTGATTTGGACAATATTGGAGTGGTTTTGTTGGTTATTGAGGAAAGTGAAACCATTTCAAACTTAATCTTGAGTTTATTTTGAGGTTAGGCAAAGACGCAGGTCGATAACAAAATGCTGCAGAACTGAAGAAAGTTTAATAAATATTACTCCGAACATTCAAGCAGTGGCTGAAATATTGTCCCTATATGGGATTATGATCAATAATGTTAATTATTCTAATTGAACAACATATGCAAGTTAGCGTCTTTCAGTTTCTAAATGCTCAGGAACCATATTGTACATTTCTAACAAAACTTTGGGGGACTCAACATTTCCGGGTTTGGCGGCAAGTCGACTATAATTGTTAAGGAAGACCTAAAACGACAGAGGAGGGGGCGGAGTTTATAACCTCCACCAGGGAGCGATCAACATCACGTCGTCCATCTTTAATGTGTCGGTGGTTTAACTTTGAGAGTTACTTTTTTTATTGTTTTATTTGGTTGAAGGTGGAGCTTTATCTGACCTCTGCAGACTGTTAGGGGCAGAGGGTAAATTGTCCTTCAGTTACTTGTTAGTTTCTGTATTTTCATAATCTGGTGCCAACTCTCGTCGTTGTTTTTAAAGGTGCTCTTTGTTCTTTCACGTTACTAAATCATCTGCAAACAAATTAAAAACCTCCAAAGTGTTTATGTTGTACGGGCGGGATGTGATGGCTGATGGGAAATGTGGTCTTTTATTTGTTTTACAACCATTGTTCAAACAACATTCGCGGCAGCTTTCAACCCCAAAACAAACATTGAAGCATTAAACATACAAAGAACTGCTTTTATAAAACTGTACATAAACATATTTGTATTTTACAGTTTTTTTTATTTCTTGTTATTTGTGTGCAGTTGTTTTCTAGATGCTTGTTGTTCTCTGTTGTTTAAATATCTTTTTGTTTACTGACTTGACACGACGTCTCGATTATTATTAAAGAGTTTGTGTCATTGACCTCCGTATGTCTGCAGTTCATCATATAAAACCGTCCCACTGCTCTTTAGTTGCTTTATAATGAAGGAAGAGGCAGTTTGAGTGAAGCTACTATAATATAAACTGTGTTCAGCTCTATAAGGTTTATATCTTAAATAATATAAACTTTATAAATATTTAAGTTTTCTTATCCTCATGACGCCCCTGTGAAGCTTTGGTGATGATGATAATAATAATAATAATAATAATAATAATAAAACTTGGTGCTTTACTATGTACAGTTTTTATATATATACAGTATTTATAAACAATAACATTAGTAGAAAGTAGTGCAAAGGATGCCAGGATGTATTTTAATGTACATTTGGTAGGTGGATATATACAATTTGCACAGTATGCATCAATGATATTTATGTTTTTAAAATGAAAACAATTAAAGCAATGAAAAATATTTAATAATTTGTTTATGGCTTCTTTTAAGCTTTTATTATTGTACTTGGGTATTCTTTATTTTTATATTTAATTAAATTTTTGATAATTTTGTCTGTCAAAGCAAGGTTAGAAGGTCCTACATAAACAAAGTTATTATTTAAACATATTTTAATTAAATTTATAGCATTTGTTATAAACAATGCACATTAAAAATGAATGCAATAAATTGGTAATAATAAATATTTTTGATAATTATAAAAAATATAAAAATACAATTAATACAGGTTTAATTATTTGTATATATTCATTATTATTTATTTATTAAATAATACAGATCAGGTGGATGATTGTTATTTTTACTAAAGACATTTTTATTAATATTATTATTTAATGTAACGATTATTTAATGTTATATTGATCAGGTAATCATGCTGCACTCTGATTGGATTATACTCTCGTGGGCGGAGAAAAGGAAGCGGGAGGTGCGTTTTCGTGTGTGTGTGTGTGTGTGTGTGTGTGTGTGTGTGTGTGTGTGTGTGTGTGTGTGTGTGTGTTCTTCCTCACGGAAGAGAGCGGAGGAGGTTCTCGGTGTGTGTGTGAGCAGAAAGCACCGCGACCGACCGAGAGAAGGACGAACCGGATAACAGCAACAACAATAATCATAAAAAAACATCATCGAGCCAACAAACAAACAAACAAGGAAGAGGAAATAAAAACATCTGCATCCATACAGGGCAGAGGTCGACAGTTGTGTGCGGGAGAGGACGCGCAGAAAATGGGACCGTGGTTCTCCTGATAGAGCAGCAGCGGATCTGAGGGAGGACAGTCACCGGGCACAGACATGGCCCACGTAGGCAACGGAGCCACCGGCGAGGAGGAGGTGGGAGTCACACCGACACACTGTTACCTAATGTATAGAGCCTGCAGTGGTCACATAAAGCCTGCAGTGGTCATATAAAGCCTGTAGCCTATCTGTGGAGGCTCATTACAGTAATTATATTCATACAGTGGTTTATTATATTAAAATATACACATTATAGGCTCCTCATACAGTGTATTCTTATATTCTTATGTCTTTCTATAGTCATTTATTTAATATAATATAATGTAATATGAGATAATATAAGGTTTTTAAAGACTTTATTGATCCCACACTGAGGAGATTCACTTGTTACAGCAGCTGTAGATACACAATAGATTAGAAAATACACATTAAATAACAATAGATATAGAAAAATACAAGATATAATAGAGAAATATGAGTTATTTGTGCATTATTGTGTCTTTGAGTTACGTCCTATAATATCATCCTACAGTAATTCTGTACTATATAAACGCGGATGTCTCCTATAGTTCACATATTTAACATTATTAAAGGAAGAAAATATAAAAAAATGGTTATTTTATATCCTGATATTTGAATCAATTCTCTAAACGTGTTGATTTTAGTGAACTGAGGTCAGATTTTATTTAAATAGTGGCATCTTTAGACAGTTTCCCTAAAATAAGTTTAAAAATAAGAAATCACAACATATCGTAATATATTAAATTGTAAATATGTATCGGCAGATTCTTTCCAATACACATTATAGGCTCCTCATTCAGTGACTTGATTGATATTATTGTCTTTCAGTCTAATTATATATTAAAACAATCTGTCTGTGTACTTTTTTTCTGTTTACAGCGGCGTTATCTCTAATGTTACAATCTCTATGGTGATGTCCCCATAGTGACCGACACTGTGACCTTACACTCTCCTTCAGTCTTTATATTTACATTGTGCTAATAACTTTATATTCCTGCAGTACAGATTCCTACTGCGTCACATAATTCAACTGTTCTTATTTATTTGGGGATTTCACCGCCTTGTTTTCTGCAAACTGGTGAAAAACAGATACAAATAAACAAGATAAACAATATAAGAGCTCGTATAATACATACTGAGTGTACAGTCCAGCGCCCTAGAGGCCACTGTGTTGTGCTTATCTGAAAATGAAAATGTTGTACATCAGATTTCCTTCCTCTGCTCTCCTCGTTTACAGCTTATTTGCTCCATCACGTCTAATTTAGAGACACAGTCCATAATGTTCCCGTAGTATTCCCATGCTGATCCACATTAATGCATTCACAGTAAATTAGTTTCAGTAGTTTCAGTCCCGGCACTTTACATTAATGAGTAGTGAACTGTAGGCCTTCCTGGTTCAGCACAGGTGAGCTGTGAGTGGACAGCTGATTGTTGTCTTTATCAACCTGCAGTGTTTGATCAGCTCTAAGTGAGGCGATACCATCAGTGTGTGTGTGTGGGTTTATGTAAATGATGGATCTGATTTCAACCACAGGCGGCTTCCTGCACAACAAACACAGGAAGTTGGATGAGAATATGAGGATTATTGTCCGAAGCTCAAACCTAATCGCATTTATTCTGATCCAAAATAACTATCAGTGACATCAGTGCGTTTAAATAACCCTGTCACAGGACACCCTGACTGGTTTCTGGCTCGTATCGTGATGCAAAGTGAGCTAGCAAGGTTATTTTTTAACCTTTATGTTTCCTGTAAAGCCTGATGTTCCACCCTGGCTCTTATTATTCAGACTGGGAGTGCCCGAATACAGCTGCCACTGGGTAAAGTACCTTATTAGGTCCTAAGGAAGAGGGTGTGCTCCAGGAGGTTCAAAGGTCTGTGCTTGGAGGAGGTTCCACAAATCCTTAAAGGACTATTTTTGGAGGGGTTCTAGAGATGGGTCGTTAGGGTCAAAGGGTCTTTACTTACTTACTTTACTTAAAGGAGTTCCTCAGATCTCTGTGGAGGTTCCTTTGTGAGGCATTAAAGAGATGTAAGATGGTCTACAGGGGTCCGAGACATCTTTCAATGAGTGGCTTTAAAGGTTCTGGAGGTCCAGAATAATTGAATAATTCGGGGCAATTATATGTAATTTAGGGGGGTTTAGGGCGTCACAGAGGGGGTTGTAGGTGCTGGTCTATGAAGATGTAGAGGTTTCAGGTGTCCTTGAGGGGAGTAGGTTAAGTGGACAAGGGATTAAGGGTCCTTTGAAGGGGTTCTGGAGATTTTATAGATCTGTTGTTAGTTTCTTCAGGGTTTTTACTACTAGGGGTCAGAGAGCTCTTTCATGAGGTCTCTTAAGGTTGGTCATAGGTTCTTCAGGAGGTTCCAGGAACCTATGGACATGATCCATGCAACACAGTTAGAAACACCTTGAACCTCTTCATAGACCCAAGCTGTCTCTGGTGTGTAGAGGTCCCAGCGGTTTGTCCAGCTGGTATGTAAAGGTTCTAGGGTTTCCTGAGGTTTCAGATGTCTTTCAGTTGGTTATGTTGAGAGATTTTTCTGAATGCTATTCATCATATTATTATGATCCTTAAAGAATCTTGGGGTTTCTAAGGGATTTTTGGGGTACCTGGGGTCAATAACAGCAGCATGAAGGGGAACAAAATTACTCTTTTTAGTAAATATTTCTCAGGTGCCTCTATAGAGGCTCTAAAGATTCTTGAAGGGGTACAGGGGATATTAAGTGAGTCCTAGTAGAATCTGAGTCGGTCTCTTAGGTCTTAGCGGAGGTCTAAGGATCCCTGTGGGGTCCCAAAAGGTGTGCCATTAAATTTAGGAGGTCTTTCAGGGCGTTTACCAGATATTTATTCAAATTCTAAACATCACTGAAGTGGCTCTTTGGGGTTTTGAGAGGTTCTAGACTATCTGAGGAGGTTTCTAGACACAGAAAATTGTTTAGTGGCCTCTCTGGGAGCACACCTGATTAGGTAGAGCCTCTTTACCTCTCAGGAGGTTTCAGGGTCTCTAGGGGAAGTGGTTTCAACAGTGACTGTGGAGAGTGTTTATTGGTATATTTCTCCCTCTAGACTTCACTGTGCAATGGAGGGACTCAGTTCAGCCAGACTTTGTGTTTACAAGCAGCAGATATTGAGGTGGATGATGTGTTCTGGGTCTGGGGTGTTGAGGCCGTCATGCGTCACACCTCACCAGTTCATATCCTCATTTGGGCTCACAAACGCTCCTCTGTCAGCCTCCAATCTAACTCATCACATTAAGGAGGAATTCAGCTGACTTGGGTTGAGCTGTGAGGAATGTGGGACAAACTTAAACACAGTGGAAGGTTATCATCTGAACTCACTGCTCAGCAACGCACCCAAAAAAACAAAACATAAACACATAGACAGAAATGATTAACCCTGTCTGGTCCATTCTGTTGAGACAGAAACACAATCAGCTGTTCACAGTGCTGAAACATCCAGTGAAGCAGTCCAGTTGTTTAAGTCAATCCAGGACCTGAGCAGTTCTTTCTGTTAAAACCCCCTCAGGTATGAATGGTATGTAACACACCCTGAGAACGAAGGCAGCATTTTACCTCTTAGTTAGCCAGGCCCTCACCCTCTTAAGGATTAAAAACTGTGCCTCACGTTATAGCCACAGATTATAGACTGGAAATTAGCTCCTACAAATACTGGACAAAGAAATGTTAGATATTGAACTTTGTGTTAAAGGTGGAGTCAGTCTTGAGAAAGATCTCATTATCAGGTTAGGGTTAGGTTCAAAATGTCTGTGTTTGACGACCCCACCTTTAAGCTGAATGTACATACTTTCAGACACAACGTTGGTTGAGATGGTTTCAGAGTTCCCTGAGGAGGTTTCCTAGGTGGTGCACAGCTGAAACAACTGCTGTAAACAGCACTACGGTTGCTGTGTAGCATGCATTCACTGCGTACCCTTCTTATTAAGGATTATAACTTTATAACCCACAACTAACTCTCTGTAAGAGGACAAAACAGCATGACACAACAGTTTGTTTCTTATTGTGCAATAGAACATACAACACTTATACCTACATACAGCTATTTTAAAATATTCTGTTTTGAAACTGAAGAAATGTTAAAGTTCAAAGATTCAACAGAAATTAACATTCTGATTCCTTCACATCTTTTATCATTGTGGGGGGCCCAGTAAACCCTGTAGATGACATTAAAATGTGTTTTATATTCTATGTGCTCCTGTTTGTAGAATAAGTCACTATAAACCTGTATAAAGGCCCAGTCTTGAAATAGACTGTGAAACCTCCAGAATCTGAAAAAATACCCTGATAAAAATGTTTGCAGTATTTTCTACACACAGTCCAACATCCAGCAAGTTAATCGGTTTTATAATGAAATTCTAGAGGCCTTTGAGATACTCTGAGGTTCCTTAATGAGGTTCCATGAAGTTCCCAGTGGCAGGAAATTAAGAATAACTTAATTCTGGTGGTTTGTCTGTTTCCAGGGTTGTTCTTTTATTCTCAAACATTTAGTGATGCACTGTAGAGCCTGAAAAATATTTAACTGGACAATACTGCTTTATTAAGTGTAACTATATCGTACCTACAGTTGTGAGAGCGTCAGGTGATGAATGCAGACTGTTGTGTGACTGGCTGGTTTACCATAATGTGATTATTAAGAGAACACAAGGAGACCACTGTCTGCCTCAGCACAGCAAAACCCCCACCGCTTCCTCTTTCCTCTGCAGGGTCAAAGGTCAAGGCTACACTACTGGAACCAAGAGTGATACAGAATACAGTAGCTCCACTGGATCGGTTAAAGGAAGCAGGTAGTGTTTTTCTTGAAGGTGGTTCTGGAGCTTTAGAGTTACAGGGAGGTCCTTGATGAGGTTTTGAGGAGCATTGTTGAAGTGTTTTTGAACATTTCTAGTCATTTTTGAGAAGATTCCAGATTGTTTGTTGAGTGTTGAAAGGTTGCTTCAGAATGCTTTTAGCTCTTTGAGGAGGATCAATGGGGTATTAAGGGGTTCTGGGGGTTCCTCTGGGGGTTTGAAGGTCCTTTTTAAGATCACTGAAAGGTTTCAAAGAGTCATTGAGGGCTTTCAAGGGAAGGTTTCTAGGAATCTTTGAGATTTTTTCAATGGATGTTCAATGTGTTAAAGAATGGGTTCCACAGGTTCCTGAAAGGTTTTATGGGTCTTTAAGGGGTTTCTGGGGTGTTTGAGGGACGCTAAGAGGTCTTTCTTTGTGTTAGTGGACATTCCTCTGAAGGTCGAAAGGGTCTGTGTGGTGGGTCTTCAAGGAATCTTTGTCTCTGTGAAAGGTAAAAAGTCGACGCAGGGTCTCGCAACAAGGGTAACATTCTCTGACAACGCCGACTTGATTTATGGTGCAGCATCAGCTCTGAGATCAATCTAGGAGACATTTGAATTCTATAAGAAGGATTCTTTGAGAATCTACTGAGGTCTTTGAGAAGGTTTCACATCACATATTGAAGGTTTGAAGGGTTATGGACCTGGTTCTAAGGATCTTAAAGGTTACTCACAGTTTCCCAGGGGTCCTTCAACGGGGACCAGGAAGTTCGATTGGTCTTTAAGGATTATTTGAATGTCCAGGGGTCTATGAGAGGGTTCCACAGGTCATTGCATGGTTTTGATGGGTCATTGAGTGAGTTCTAAGGCCACTGAAAGAATCTAATCACCTGTGATTTAGACTTTGTTGTGGAACCTTCTTGTAGGTTTGAAGGGTCATGGACTGGGTTCTAAAGATCCTAAAGGTCTTCTTGTGGTAGCTTTTCTAGAGGTCCCATGGGTCAATATTCATGTTTTCTTTAGTGCTTGGGAGGTACGTGGAGTGGGAGAAGTCCTTCAGGAGGTTCTGGTGGTCCGACAGGGTTTTTAGGCCTCCTAAAGGGGGATATGTTATCTTTAAGGGAGTTTAACAGGACAGTGAGGGGCATTCTGGGGGTTCTTTGAGAGTTTCCAAAGCCTCCTTGAGAGTGTTTAAGTGTGTCTGGTAACAGGACACAGTGTGTAGGTCTTGACTAATTGATTAGAAAGCTGCTGCTGTCACAAGAGAAGCTCCTCTGGCATCGACCTCTCCTTGTGTGTAATATCATACAGAGCTGTTTGCTTTTTCCACATATATAAAATATATATACTAAAATATATATAAATCCTCTCCTGTTATAAACTTTAATGAGATCAGATGTCAGCCAGATAAAAACCAGAAGAGATACGCGGACCTCAAACAGAAACCGTAAATATATAATGTGCTAACTGCTTCCATGAAAAGGACGAACAATTAAAGAAATGAGGAAGTGGAGAAATAATGTTCAGTTGTGTTTTGAGTTGATACGGGAACGTGGTCTGTGGGTTATAGTGTGATAATGAATCATTTGAGTGTGTTTCTGCTTTTATATCATCATGTAAACAATTAATCCGATAATCAAAGAAATAACTGTTGAATCCAAAATGGAAGTACTCGTCAGGCTTTTTATTCTTTATGATCCCATCGTGTTGGGAGTTGATTCGCTCGACCCATCGGTTAATAACACACACACACACACACACACACACACACACACACACACACACACAGGAGTTTATAAATGTGTGGAAACGCTGGCAGTGTGTGAGGCGATGTCAGAGAGAGCATCTGTTTGTATGAGTGAGAGAGGGAGTGTGAAAACAGAGGGTGAGTGAGCGAGCGTCTGTTTGCGTTCACACACATTTGTTTGACTACAACCGTCCTCCATCTTTCCTCCCTTCTCCCCCCTTCCTCACCTCCTCACTACCTGCTCCTTTTCTCCTAATGGAGCTAATGTTAGCGAAACACAAGCTAACTAATGACTGATGTAAATAAGCTTGGACAGTGTTTTGCTAATATTAGCTAATTTAAGATATATACGTCACTTGTAAAACATGTAGAAATCAGATTACATAAGTTAACTGTATTAAAACAGTGAAGATGTCTGATATAAATGCTGATTACAGAACAGACAAAAGGCCTTTAACTGTAGTCCGGATCCTCCATCAGCTGCTCTCAGATAATCGGTGTTTTATCACCATCGATCACACAATGAATCACCTTCCTGATGTGTTTGCAGGCAGCAGATTGTTGACAGTAAGTGGGTCACAGTGTTGAAGAGTGTCCACAGTGGGTCGATATCCGCAGCCTGCAGGCACACAGTCACTGCAGCTGCACTCTGTTATGTAAGGAGCTACTGGGATGCTATTATTAGCCTGCTACTGGGGCTGCAGAGACAGACTGTGTGTGTGTGTGTGTGTGTGTGTGTGAAATTAATGCTGTTACTTTCAAGTTCACATGTTAATGGAAAAATAGAAAATGCGTAGGATTATAGACGCTGTGTGTGTGTGTGTGTGTGTGTGTGTGTGTGTTCAGAGCACACAGGAACTGAAGCTGCAGTTCCTCGAGCGAACACTAGGGGTTCCCAACACTCACGGTGAACTTGAAACTCCACGGATGAGGATTTCCTGGCAGCAGTAAAGTGAAAACATCCCTAAAATATCTCTGAATATTTGTGTTTTTCTACAGTTTCTACGAGTCAGGAATAAAGAAAAATATGGTTTAATATAAAAAAAAAAACAAGTTTTAGAATCACTGATACAGAAAAGACGGAGACAAACTTTAAAAGGAAGCAAAAGTCAGAATTACTCTGAGCGATATTTATTTATAATGAAAAATATTTTTTTAAGCAAAAAGCAACACACACACACACATATAGCTAGCTGAGGGAAAGGGGCGGGGCTAAGGAGGGGTCAGTTGGTAATAATTGATCGTGTTGCAAAGTCAGAATTTACCCAGAAGGGTTTCTTCCTGTTTCCTGTTTCGCTAGAATAAACCAGAGTGTGTTTCTGTGTTTTCAGGACTGCTTTGAAGATGCCTACGACCGAATACCTGCGTGAGTACACACACACACACACACACACACACACACACACACACACACATATCTGATGTGTCATTTCCTGTCAGGCTCCTCTCACTTTCACCTTTTGTCACTTCCTGTGTTGACTGGTGGATTTCTCTTTACTGTGTGTGTGTGTGTGTGTGTGTGTGTGTGTGTGTGTGTGTGTGTGTGTGTGTGTGTGTGTGTGTGTGTGTGTGTGTGTGTGTGTGTGTGTGTGCAGGGCCTGTCAGATGGACCTGCAGACAGCCATCCAGGAGACTCAGTGTGCTCTCAATCTGGTCCTCAACAACAAGTTCTCTGAAGCCCTGGACCTCCTCAAACCATGGTAACCACGGCAACAAGTCTCTGTGTGTGTGTGTGTGTGTATTATGTAGTACAGACTGCAGTGTGTTACTGTACTACAGAGCTTGTTAATACTACGACTACTGATACTTCTACTATTACTACTTGATATACTAACTACTAACTGGTTTTAACAGGTGTAATTACCACTAGTAATGCTACTAACTATAACTATAACTAGTACTATATCTGATACTTCTGCTGTTAACGGTACTATTACTACCTATACTACTAGTATGATAACCCTGTGTGTGTGTGTGTGTGTGTAGGTGGAAGGACAGTATGTACCATGCGTTGGGTTACAGCAGCATCCTGGTGATGCAGGCCACGATGACCTTCGAGCACAGAGACATCCAGGCTGCCATGGCAACCATCAAGGAGGCGTTACACACCTGTCAGAGGTGAGACACAGTATTTTCTCTGAGAGCGCCGAAAAGTTGCGATAACTCGGACAATCTGGCGCCATCTTCAGGTCAAACTGCAAAACCAATGACACTGGGCTCTGTGTTTGATGCTAATTAGCATATGTTAGCATGCTAACACAAAAATGGTGAACATGGTGAACGTTGTTGCTGGTAGACATTAGCATCTTAGCACTGTTGACGTTAGCATTTAGCTGCTAACACGACTGCAAACCAGACCAAAAATCTCATATTTTGTTTAACAAGGGGCAACTTTTATAGCTGCAGCTAAACGCCCGTCTGTACAACAGCCTTTAAAGTCAGTTCACATAGAATTTGTATCATAAGTAACCCAAATACACATTTTACACACAATATTATTATTAACATCTTACTGAAAACCTTCAAACAACCAATATTAGACACATTTTACACATTTTACTGCTGGAAAATGACGGTATTTCACCGTTAATGGAAACACGATCAGAACGTGAGTCTTTGTGTTTACAGGTTCAGGAAGAGGAACTCGGTGGTCGGCTCTCTGTCCAGTCTGATCAACAAGCAGTCCAACCTGCAGGAACGTACGTCAAACACATGTCCCGCCCACACAGTTTGATTGACAGCTGCAGGAAGAGCAGCTCAGAAAATAATAACAACAATATAGAACAAAATATAGGAAATAAACTCTAAAGCAGCAGGAAGTCACTGTGTTTGTGTGTTTGCAGAGGAGATGCACGCAGAGATCTGCTACGCCGAGTGTCTGCTGCAGAAAGCCACGCTGACGTTCGTACAGGTAAGAGCTGTCTGTCTGTCTGTCTGTCCGTCTGTCTGTCTTTTCACCTTTTACCTGTCTGTCTCTGTCTCATCTGTCAGCCTACGTATCATAAGTCCTCCTCTGGGTGCTTTTGATAAAGATTAAAAGCAAAATTAGGACAACAATCTGTGCAGCAGAGGCCGATATGTCCAGGTTTTTACCCTTATGTATGTGTAAGGCTCGAAAAGCTCAGAATCCTACATTTCCCATGATGCAGCTGGATAGCAACTCTTTCATTAAACATCACAAGAACAGCCACATCTTACAAACTCCACGCTTGTGGTTTGTAAAACTCGCAGAGCCACAGGAAACATTGTTTTTAACGTTTTCTTGTCACTTAAAAAAGGTGTTGTACCCTTTAAGCTGCAGTTCCAATAGCGGCCACTAGATGCTGCTCCTGTCAAACTCTGACTGTAATGAAGTGAATGGGAAAACCACTAGTTTCTGTCTGGAAATACAAAGTCAGTGTCGTCTTAACGACCACTTTCGCTGTGTTTTTGGAAACAAAATGTTTAACTGAAACATAATTAAAGGTTGAACAGTTGTCAGGAAAGGTTACTACTTAAAACAAAATGTCAGGGAGGATTCCTAAATTATCAGTATTACATTATGTTTAATCAATATCTATCAATATATAGCCACAGATGAGGTAACTTCAGCCTTTAAGGATCATCATCCTGATTCATTTTAGGATTTAGAGCTACGAAAGTTGCTCCAAATTAACGCAAACACACCAAATACAAAGTTATTCAGTTCAAATAAAAACTGCACATAAACATTAACAACATAACATAATTTTGCATTGATCACATAACAATATAACCAAGGAAACAACCGAAACAAAGCAGAACAAGTTAACGAGGCTAACTGAGTGAAATGTCTTTTTCCCTCTGCCTCTCTTTCAGGACGAGAACATGATCAGTTTTATCAAAGGAGGCATCAAGATTCGAACCAGCTACCAAATCTACAAGTGAGTGTCTGTTTCAAACCACCGGCGACATTAAAGTCTCTATTAGTCTCTATCTAATTTAATTAAACACCAACTCAGTAACGAGGCAGCTGTAAATGTACAAACAAGATGAATCTGTCATTACCTGATTGTGACGTCTTGTTTCATGTCGTCCAATAGGGATTGTCAGAATGTGCTGAATGTCAGTCAGGACCTGGCCGGCCAGTCTGATGCGTTCAGACAGTTTGAGGGCGGAGTCAAGCTGGGAATCGGATCCTTCAACCTGGTGGGTTTTCAGAGAGTTTAACTGCAGTAAATTGCGGCATATTGGCTAATAATGACTTACTTAAAGATATTTAAAGAAAATTCTCCATTAAGTCTGGTCATGATACACCTCCGGTTTTTGTGCATGTACATGAAATGTGCTGATGGGGCTGCTTCACGGAAACAAAAGAAACAAAAAGGCCTGTTTCATGGCGAAATATAGATTTTTTATTCCACGGACTTGCCGTTTGACAAAAACTCAAGCTTTTGATAACACTTCATTGTGAATGCCCTAAGAGTGTACTGACCAAATTTGAAGTCGATCTGATCAATCAAAGTGTAGTCTGTTAAAATACAATGCGTGGAAATGGCAAACATGGCGCCAAAATTGGACGCTAAATTAAAAATGGCTGACTTCCTTTTTGATTTGGGGTATGGGTAATGTAGTAGTAATAATGTCTGACTTTCATCATGATTTGATCATATTTTCTGTATATTTTCTCTTTCAGATGTTGTCTCTCCTTCCTCAGAGGATTTTGAGGTTGTTGGAGTTCATCGGATTCTCAGGAAACAGGGTCAGAACAACCACTTTGTGTCTCTCCACCCAATCTGTTCCACACAAAATCTCTCTGTTTTGTAAAATGTGACAGTCTAACAGTTAATAATAATCCTGTCTGTCTGTTTGCAGGGGTTTGGTCTGTCTCAGTTGAGGGAGGGAGCCTCCAGTCACAGTTTGCGGTCGATCCTCTGTGCTCTGACGCTGCTCTTCTACAACACATATGTTTCACTGATACTCGGTATAAATACACAAACACGCCTTTGCCCTTTGCCTTAAATATAGCACACTAACTTTAACTGGCCCACAGTTGTCTGGCTCCAGAGCTGTGTCCTCAGGTTTCATGTTGAGGTCTGGCTGATAATGGTGTTGATGTTGTGTTTGATCAGGAACTGGAGAGGGGAACTTGGTGGAAGCTGAAGCTCTGCTGGAGCCGTACCAGCAGAAGTACCCCAAAGTAAGTAACCGCACACACAACTACACAAATTCTGAACAAAATATTAAATATTCTGTCTCATGATTCATAAAGAATTTTAAACTCTTGTGAAAACCTGCAGTTTTATTGTTGTACAGTGATTGGTCGATGAAGTATGTTGAAGGTTATATACAGAACACCAGCATACTGGCGCTGTGGCCAACCAGACTCCACTGACAAAACCAGTAATTTTACTTGGCAGAAAACAGCGTAAAAACACTGTAAACTGGACAGAAACTAAATGAAACTCACCAAAACCATCTCTGTTTGTCTTTCCATTGATCAACAACTCTGGTTTGGTAGAAATAAATCCTTAATTCACAAACGTAGATGATAAAAACAGCAGTTCTTAACGCATGTAATGTTTTAAATCTCATACAACAACAAACTTCATTGTGGTTTTTTTTCAGGGCTCCATCATTCTCTTCTACTCCGCTCGTATCGCCACGCTGCGAGGAAACTTCGAGAAGGTCTGAAACACTCAAACCTTTTTACTAGTATCTCTGACACATTACGTCCCCTCACCCTCAATCTAAACGTAATGTGTGGTGTGTTTCAGGCCCGGGCGAGGTACGAGGAGTGTATCAGCAGCCAGCAGGAGTGGAAGCAGATCCACCACCTGTGCTACTGGGAGCTGATGTGGACTCACTCTTACCAGCAGGAGTGGCAGCAGGCGTACCACTACGCTGACCTGCTGTGCAAGGAGAGCCGCTGGTCCAAGGTGAACACACACTTATATTTGAGACTTTCTTTGTTTTTTTATTTTATTTGGTTATATTATTTGTTTTTTTTATGTGAAACGAGCTGTTGAGTCATAACTGATTACAAAAACTTTGCTTCTGGATGAAGTTTAATCCAGAAATCTTGTGCTTTCGACCTTCTTCAGGCGATCTATGTTTACCAAAAGGCGGCCATCCTCAGTATGATGTCGGAGGAGGAAATAAAGAAGACAGGGGAGAACATCATGGAGCTCTTTAGGTGAGTCTGCCTCAGTAAAACATGAATAATGTCACCACAGTAACACCTAAAACAAACCTTTACATTTACGTTACATTAAACGTAGAATATGTGAGAATTTTACTGTAAAACATAAAAAGATTATCAACAGAATGTGAAGAAACAAACGTGTTACAGAGATATCTACTGAAGTTAGCCTGCTAACCCGCTAGCTTTTTGGGAATAAACAGTTTTTTTTCTGTTTTGTAGTGAGCAACATATTCAGGAAATAAAAACGTTGTTGGAAACAGTTTGAGGGTTACGAGCTCCGGTTCGGTGCAGGATTAGGGTCAGGGTAATGTTATTGAGGCTATAAGTGTGTGTATCTGTGTATGTGCAGGCAGGTGGAGGGGCTGAAACAGCGTCTGGCGGGGAAGTCGATCCCAACGGAAAAGTTTGCAGTGAGGAAGTCCCGACGCTACAAGGCCGCTAACCCCGTCCCGCTGGTCATCCCCGCACTGGTATACTCAACAAACGCTCCTATCACACTGAGCAGCAGCGTAATGTACTCTGAATAAGCAAGCAGTGTAAAGTAATGACGTTGTTTTCTGTCTCTGTAGGAGATGATGTACGTTTGGAACGGTTTCACCATCGTCGGGAAGAGAGCCGACAGTACCGAGTCCCTGCTGGTTACCATAGAGACGGCTGAGGAGCAGCTTCGCAGCGACACCAGTAAGTTAATAACGAGACCCCCGACGTAAGATTAGACTAGTCGTCGTCGCATATTCATATTAATGTAAGGATTTAAATCTCTGTATGTGAGCAGCAGTCTGTTTATTCCAACACAGTGTAACATTACACAGTCTGATTGTTCAATACACGGAATAAAGAAGTTGTTTTTATATGTTTTTCATTCATTTGTACTGTGTGTTTACAGATATTTTATTCAAATACAATTCAATGATTTGCATGTAATTTGAAATTTGTTCAAACTGACAGCCCTACAAGTTAAACCTTTAAAGATGACTGTATGTATTTAACAAGTTCACACAGTCCAGTGGTTCCCAACCTAAAGGGGTCACCAAAGCACAAGGTCTTCTTCATTTTAAGGGTGTAAGAAAACTTTATAAATACAAACAGTAGGCCGATATCTTAAAGTAAAGTGTCTAATAGAACAATGAACAAGCAGAAGCACTGGATTTGTCAAACAAGAAGCCTGTTAAATATAAATAAAAAGTTTCCTAAACGGGAAATAATCTGCTCAAAATTCATAACAAACCTTTCATTGTACAGTTTTTAATATAAAATGAAATATCCATAAAATATGTCACTGAGTCAGTTTATTAAAGTATAACTTCTGTATGTTTCTCTCATTCAGACCCGACAGAGTTTCACCCTGACGACAGCTGCCTGGTCCAGATGTTGAAGGGACTCTGTCTGAAACATCTGGGTCGGTTACTGCAGGCGGAGCTCTGCTTCACACAGGTCCTCTCCAGGTACCACAGACAGACAAACAGACAGACAGACAGACAGACAGGTTCAGGTGTGAAGTGTTTATGTGAGATAAGATAAACTCTCCAATCTGTGTCCTTTCAGTGAGAGCCGGATCAGATACGATCACTACCTGATTCCCTTCACTCTGTATGAGCTCGGCCTTCTGTATAAACAACAGGGAGACTTCACCAAGGCCACCACGTACATCGAAAATGCCAAGTAAGTTCTCTTCATGCACCATTATATGCCTACATGTACCTTTATAAACCTTTTTATAACCCTATATATCACTGTAAGATGTGACACAACTCTCACATCACGCTGTATGTTTGTACATTTTAAAGCTGCAGCAGGTAACTTTTATAAAAACTAACTTCACTAACTAACTAATAACTAACATCCTGACAGATAATGTGTGGAACAATCAGGTTTCCTCTGGCTCCTCCTGGTGCTCGTCTTTGCACATTAACAGTCGATACTGTTCAAACACATTTATCACATACTGCTGCACACCTGTACAGTAACTCTGTCCAACCCACAGGTGTTTCTGATATCTTTGGTATTTTTACAATCGTATCTCCAAACAGCATCAGGTGCTCCTGGGGGCAAAAATAGTTTGGATGTTTGAGGAATAAGAAGTGTAGCAGGAACGAGTCCTACAACATGTTTGAATGTGTTTTTGTTTAGATGCCTGTAATAAGGTCTGTGGTTAACACAAGTTCAACTCCATATATATGAAGGGAAATGCACTTTTACTGACACTTCGTACCCCAAATGTTTCACACACAAAAGAAACATGACTTTCTTAAACATTATATCATTATAATGACATTAGTCTCACATTGTAAACACAGTGGAGTCCTAAAACCCAGAACTGAGTTAGCATTTGAGCTAACAAAGTCAATGGGTTTCTGATGTCTATTTTTTATATTCTACGATATAAAATCCATCAGTAAAAACCTCACCGGTGAATTTTTAAGCTTTTACGTGTCTTAAAAAAGACAGTTGAGACTACAAAAATCCATCATCCGTGCAGCAATCTCTCACAAAATATGTGTTTATTGATTTAATGTTCTGAAAGATGTGTTGTGTTCTCCATCAGGACGAACTACAAGGACTACTCCATGGAGTCCAGACTGCATTTCAGGATCCACGCAGCCCTCAACAGCCTCAAAGGATCTCCTGTCGGCACCCCATGAAACTGGAAAACAACCATGTATGAAACATGAATCCAGGGATTCGTCAATGAACCGCCACTTAATGAAGAGCCTGAAGAGTGTCGGGGGTTTGAGATCACGTCCACCAGGACTCTTTCTTTCTCATTGCTAGCAACCTTATATTTTATTTAACTTTTCCTTATTTATTTTTTCAATCGTGTGGACGGATGAGACTATTTAAGCAACATATTTCCTATCAGCAGATTATATTGGTTGATGCGGAGCCGCGGCTCAATGCCAAATTTAATCAACGTACCGATTCCCATTAACAACGGCTCCTTTATAATCAATAAGGAGGCAATAACGCAAGAGGGGTTTCATTCTCAGGGCTCGTTCACTCAGACAATTCATTAATTTAAAAGTCACTTTCTGTTATAAAAGCACAAGGTCGGGGACGAGCGGGTACATCAGTGTTTGTATCTGTACTCAGAACGTAGGTGGACGGGGTTTAACCGTAAGGTGTCAGTTTAAGCCTGAAATTGATACAAGTTGATCAGAAGTTCTTATATTTATCAGAAAACTATTTACAGAATTCAGTTTGTTGTTTCTGAACACAAGCGTAACCCCGAAATCAGTCGTATTTTACTCATATTCATGAGTTCGAATATTTACAGCGTTTGGTACTCGGATACTCGCTCAACCCAAATAAAAAGGTTAACGAGAGGAAACCAATAAGTGACGAGAGGAAACCGATCAGTATTCTCAATAATCTTTGATCGCCGTCGTCTGTCTGAACGAACCCTAAAATCAAACTTACGTCTCTCACAACCAAACAAATCACAGCCTTAAACTAAAGTATACTTTTGTATAAACGTTTGCTCACAATAAGCTGTGTATATTTTAGGAAGATGACTGTAGGAACACACAGTATTTATGCTTTATATTCACTTTACTTTGCCTTTTTATTTGTTATTTCTTAATAATGCATCACACCACATGTGCACACACAATCACAGCCTTCTCACCAACTGTGGCTTATACACACACACACACACACACACACACACACAAGCTTACACATTATGGGCAATACGCACATTATAAACACACAAACGGCTGTAAACGCACACATTTAGCAGCAATATAAAAGAGGTTGTGCTGTTAGTCCGTCAGTGTTTGTCCGACTGTAACAGACGTAGTTTCAGTGTTTCTCAGAGGCAGAAGAGATTTAAAACAATTATAACGACGGTACTAATCAAAACAAAAAAACTGTAAATCAAGATCAGATCAAATATATATTCTACTGTTGCTATTAGACAGGCTTAATATAAATAAATATAATGCCACTGTTTCAAAATCAACTGTTATGAAGCTAACTGTGCTGTAGCATTACATCTTTTAGCTAACGTCCACAAAGCGGGTTTAATTAGTTTACTGTGAGCTGATGTGTAATATCTGAATGTGACGGAAAATAAACGACTGACGTCCAATAACAGTCCAACAACAGTCCAATAACAGTCTAATAACAGTCCAATAACAGTCCAACAACAGTCTAATAACAGTCTAATAACAGTCCAATAACAGTCTAATAACAGTCCAACAACAGTCCAATAATAGTCCAATAACAGTCTAATAACAGTCTAATAACAGTCCAATAACAGTCTAATAACAGTCCAACAACAGTCTAATAACAGTCTAATAACAGTCCAATAACAGTCTAATAACAGTCCAATAACAGTCTAACAACAGTCCAATAACAGTCCAATAACAGTCTAATAACAGTCTAATAACAGTCCAATAACAGTCTAATAACAGTCAGTCCAATAACAGTCCAACAACAGTCATAACATAATAACAGTCTAATAACAGTCCAATAACAGTCATAACAGTAAACAGTCCAACAACAGTCTAATAACAGTCTAATAACAGTCCAATAACAGTCTAACATAACAGTCCAACAACAGTCTAATAACAGTCTAATAACAGTCCAACAACAGTCTAATAACAGTCCAATAACGGTCAATAACGCAACAACAGTCTAATAACAGTCTAATAACAGTCTAATAACAGTCCAATAACAACAGTCTAATAACAGTCCAATAACAGTCTAATAACAGTCAATAACTCAACAACGTCCAATAACAGTCAATAATAATAACAGTCCAATAACAGTCTAATAACAGTCTAATAACAGTCTAATAACAGTCCAATAACAGTCTAATAACAGTCCAATAACAGTCTAATAACAGTCTAATAACAGTCCAATAACAGTTTAATAACAGTCCAATAACAGTCCAATAACAGTCTAATAACAGTCTAATAACAGTCTAATAACAGTCCAACAACAGTCTAATAACAGTCCAATAACAGTCCAATAACAGTATAATAACAGTCCAATAACAGTCCAACAACAGTCTAATAACAGTCCAATAACAGTCCAATAACAGTCCAACAACAGTCCAACAACAGTCCAACAACAGTCCAACAACAGTCCAACAACAGTCCAACAACAGTCTAATAACAGTCTAATAACAGTCCAACAAAGTCCAACAAAGTATAATAACGTCCAATAACGTCCAATAAGTCAATACAGTCAAACAGTAAGCAATAAGTCAAAACAGTCTAATAACAGTCAATAACAGTCTAACAACAGTCTAACAACAGTCTAACAACAGTCTAATAACAGTCTAATAACAGTCCAACAACAGTCCAACAACAGTCCAACAACAGTCTAATAACAGTCTAATAACAGTCCAATAACAGTCTAATAACAGTCCAATAACAGTCTAATAACAGTCTAATAACAGTCCAATAACAGTCCAACAACAGTCTAATAACAGTCTAATAACAGTCTAATAACAGTCCAATAACAGTTTAATAACAGTCCAATAACAGACCAATAACAGAAAAACTAAATCAGCTTTTGGTATTAAAATGTAAGGACCAAATAAACAAAACATTGTGATATTTTTACTATTAATTTTTATTTCAGGAGCCTCAATGTACATCAAATAAAATAAAATATAACATTTGACACAAAATGGCTCCTCTTCGCTCCCCCGTAATTCAAACCGTGGGCGAACTTTACTAATTTAGGTTAAATTAAACTACAAATGTGTTTAAATTAAATATAAGCAGCTCTGCCTCTGAGAACGACTTAAACTCGTTTACTTTAATCCGTCATTACTGAAAAGATTCATCTCAATAGTCGTCGTCCTGTTTGACTTTTGCAGACGTCCAGCTTATAGACCTTTTTTATTTTTGCTACATTAAGTTGTATTATATTATAAACCATAAATGATGTAGACCAACGACGTCCATGAAGAGCAGTTTCTGATAAATGTGTTAAAAAAAGCACAACGTATGATCTCCATAAGGACCTGTTCTCATTGTCTTTAATGCTTATTAACACAATATTTACTGCGTGTTGAAGGAGAACGGTACACTAGCAGCGTCTTTGCTTCCATTTTAAACATCGGGATGAAGGATACTTGAATAAATGCGACGGTGGTAACAATTAGCCTTCTCCCTATAATGAATGTATCAACCTAAAGACCAAATTATATGTGTCTTTTTGTTCTTTGTGTGTAATTTGTGCCTGTTTAAGAGTTTGGGTGTACTTTTCTTTGTGTGTTTGTGTGATCTGAAACTCCTGAATAACTTTATTAGTGCAGTAAATATTCAGGAGCTCGATGGTAAAGTCGTTAATAGTTTTACACTAAAAGACCAGAGTCCTCTACGTAAAGGAGTTGTGGCAATAACTATAGTGATCCCTGCCGTAGGCCCGTACGATAGTACGATCAACTGCTATTGCTAGGAAACTGCCAGCGGAGTTTTTGGCTAATAATGCTAGTTTTTGCTTCCATAAGAACAAAAATTAACTCAATTGACCCTTCCTAAGCCCCGCCCCTTTGAACTCTGTGCTCCAATGACAGTAGCTCAGCTGTTATTGGGGCAGTTTGCTGTTAGCTTATGCTACAGTGTTAGCATGTTGCCTGTTACCATAATATTCTAATATATTGTTTCTACGACTATAGAATATTCTACAGTGTTAGCATTATCACCTGACACAGTGTATGCTCATGTGTGCATAATATATATATAATATATATTATTAATTAATATATTAATATTAAAATTAATAATATTATTATTATTAATATATTATTATTAATACTATTATTAATATATTAATATTAATTATAATATATTAATAATAAAATTATTAGTAATATTAATATTAATATTATTATTAGTAATATAATAATATTAATATTATTATTAATATTATTATTATTACTATTATTATATTGTAATATAATATTATGTTAATATTATTAATATTAATAATATTATTATTAATATTATTATTAACATTATTATTATTATTATTATTCATATTATTATCATTATTATTATTATTACACTCCAGTCACAGAGCAAAGCATCTGTTTCTCTGAAGGTCAAATCTCTTGAATCTTTTAACATCACTTAAAGTTTTGAAGGTATTTCCAGAATCCTTAATTACCATCTGAATAACAAATATTCTCTTTACTTCTCAATAAAAACTCATTTTAACCCGTTTTCTTATACAAACAAAGATGGCGGCTGGAAACTGTTGCCATTTTTTCACAACACAATAAAAGTATAAACACATTATTGTGTATGAAAATGTGAAATAAGGAATATAATGTTAACAGAAAGAAATATAACTGACAATAAAACATTAACGTTTCTCGTTCAGTGTACGAATTGAATATAACGTATAGAGATTGTTAAATAAACATCTTTCTTTATTCTGCAGTGGATTGAATAATATCTTTTTATCCAGATAAACAGTCTGTTGTTAAACGATCACGCAGGTTTCCACATTAAAGTTTATTATCAATGTCACTATAAAGAATAAAAGTTATGCTAAAGTTAGCTACCTGCTACCTGCCTAGCTGTGGCGTAGTCCTTACGAATGATTTTCAACCTTTAACTGTCACAACTTTCTTTATAGGCTTCGATTGTGTTTCATGTCAGTGCCTCTGTGTGTGTGTGTGTGTGTGTAACTGTCTTAAAAGGGGTTTTCTATAGGATCTGCTTTGCATGTTATTCTTTATTATGTTTAATCTTTTAGTTTTTTATAAAATATCTGAGAATAATATGAGACGTGACTGTATGTGCGCTTTACGACAGGAGGCGATGTGTCCCAACACTACAGGCTTCACGGTTACAGGTGGTAACAAGGTGCAATAAAATGGAAACAGAAGAATAATTATTAATTTTGAGTGATGTGCCATTTTTCTTTCATTCCTGTTTTTATGTTTGTTTGCTTCTTTTTGTGTCTTTTATTTGTCTTAGATCTAAAATAAACACAGAAGTAGTTAACGTAGAACACTTTACGTTTATTCCAGTTACAGTTTTGTCTATAAAATGCTATATGAACATTATTATTTTGGATTACTGATGATAATAAATAAATTAACTCCGTGTTTGAGTTTAAAGTGTAAATGCTATCGGCGTGAGTAAGAAGCTAACGTTAGGCTATAAATTAACTACACGGCAGTCACATGACTTTAACGTCACCACAACTAAACTTCCAACTCGTAATTAAAATCTCCGAGATGTAAAGTTTGCGTTAGGATAGTTTGCAAGAACGCGACCATAAACACAACAATGCTGTAAACCATCGAACATAAACACCCAGTGACTTTGTTAGCTAAAATGCTAACAACTGAGAGAATCTGTTATTTGTCCGATGAAGGGACCCGGCCCCAAATAGAGAATGTAAAACTTTCACAGACAGGGTTCTTCTGCTCAGATATGCTATATGCTATGCTATGTCGAGGTTGACTGTTAAAAACTCCTTGTTGTAATCGTTTCTGTACGTAAACTTTCAGCTAACCTGAACAAAAGTGTTTAGCTGCTGAATGAAACTGAATGCTAAGCTAACGGTTTCGACAAACACAAGACGTCGGTCAGTCTTTTACCTCTAACTGTGAAAATAAATAATGTCTTTACATGGTTTGTCTCATTTAACGTTATATTAAAGTAGCCTCACAGATTGGTCTCTATCTGCAATATAAACAAATGTTTATCTGAAACTGATGTCTGACGTCTGACTCATCAATCGATCGGGAATATGTACCACGATGTTTGATCCGATCATTTTTGGAGCTCTGTTGATGGTTGAAGTCATTAAATGTGTGTCACAATGCTGTGTCTTCATTTATTTCCAGAACTGTGCTAATGCTAACAGATACCACTAATTTACCTTTAAGCCCCGCCCCCTTTTTGCTCTGCGCTCCAATAACAGTTGAGCTAGCCTCGGTCAGAACCTCGGGCACATATGCTACGTGCTAGGCTAATCTATGTTGAAAAGCTAAACACTAGCTACACCAATCACTAGCTAATTAATGTATTCCAACAAATTACCCAACAATAAATAATAATAATAATAAATAATAAATAATAATAATAATAATAATTAATAATAAATAATAATAATAAATAATAATTAAATAATAATAATAATAATAATAATAAATAATAAATAATAATAATAATAATTAATAATAATAATAAATAATAATAAGAATAATTAATAATAAATAATAATAATAATAACAAATAATAATAAGAATAATAATAAAAATGATAATAATTATTATTAATTATAATAATAATAAACAATACATAATAATTAATAAAAATAATAATAAATAATAATAATAATTAATAATAATAATAATTAGTAATAATAATAGTAATAATTAATAATAATAAATAATAATAATAATAAATAATAATAATAAATAATAATTAATAATAAATAATAATAATAATTATAACAATAAATAATAATTAATAATAAATAATAATTAATAATAAATAATAATTAATAATAAATAATAATAACAAATAATAATAATAATTAATAATAAATAATAATAATTAATAATAAATAATACATAATAATAATAATTAATAATACATAATAAATATAATAATAATAATAATAATAATATTAAACAGTTTTCAGTTTATTGAGTCTGAACAAGAAGAAAATGGAGAATATCATCAGATTTATCTCCTCACTGGATGAACTGAAGCTCTCAGCCAAAGTAAACACTGTTATTGATACAGAGTTCATCATTAACTTATTTGTACTTCCATCTATTTATCCTGTTCAGGGTCGCCTGTCCCAAAGTACATTAACGACCAGGACCCTGATCCATGCCAGCTGCTGCTAGCGTTAGCTTAGCTTGTTTCTCTGATTAAAATCCTTCATCCGTTAAAAAGTCAAAGATTTAAAAACAAACCTGAACAGTTTCATTCTTAACGTGAAGAAATACGACAATTGAAGAGTTTTTATTTCTGTAAATCAACAAACAACAACTGCGAACATCTTCAACTATTGTTACGATGTTTGTTACGATGTTTGTTACGATGTTTGTGACGCTTTTCATGAACGTAACTTCGTAGCTAGCTGGTAGTAAAACAAAGATCTAAACAGTGGGTTAGCGTTTATTGATTATAGATTATTGATTGAATCAACTACATATAGAACAGTTTATACACTGTTTATTGATTATAGATTATTGATTGAATCAACTACATATAGAACAGTTTATACACTGTTTATTGATTATAGATTACTGATTGAATCAACTACATATAGAACAGTTTATACACTGTTTATTGATTATAGATTATTGATTGAATCAACTACATATAGAACAGTTTATACACTGTTTATTGATTATAGATTACTGTTTGAATCAACTACATATAGAACAGTTTATACTCTGTTTATTGATTATAGATTACTGATTGAATTAACTACATATAGAACAGTTTATACTGTTTATTGATTATAGATTACTGATTGAATTAACTACATATAGAACAGTTTATACACTGTTTATTGATTATAGATTACTGATTGAATCAACTACATATAGAACAGTTTATACTCTGTTTATTGATTATAGATTACTGATTGAATTAACTACATATAGAACAGTTTATACTCTGTTTATTGATTATAGATTACTGATTGAATTAACTACATATAGAACAGTTTATACACTGTTTATTGATTATAGATTACTGATTGAATTAACTACATATAGAACAGTTTATACTCTGTTTAATGACACACAAACGTCTCCAGTTGACCTGAATCTTTCTGGGTTCAAACACACATATTTGTGATGCTGGTTACTGGAAACCTGCCCCCGACTCCGTTACAGCACAGCTGAGTCAGTCCAGGCTGTGTTTGTCCTCACTGACGAAACAGGCTAATGATTGATTGACTGATCATCAGCGGACAGAAGAGATATCGGTCAGTCACATTGCAGCTGTCAGAAACCTTTCAGTAAGAAGCAGTTTGTGTTTGTCAGGATGAGATCGGCTAGTTTTTCTGTGTTCGTGTTGGTTCTTCTCTTCATTCACTCTGAAACTGTGAGTTAACTTGTATTTTATCCTTGTACAAAAACATTAATATTGTCTGTATTTGTGTTTTATTACTTGTATCAGGGCTGCACGGTATAGTAAAAACACCATATTGATGTTTTATGATTATTTTGGTCTGTACCAAACAAACATTTGTCAGCGGGCACTACAGTCCTTCATTAAAATACTGTTTGTCAGACATTTTACCTTTATTGCAATATGCATATTGCTACTATTAACTGTGCAGCCCTAACTTTAATTTTAACCCTTTAAGATCCTCAGTTATATTGTTTCCATATTTAACCATTTATGACAAACAAATTTTTTGTATTTGTATTTTTATATTAAATCCAATAATTTTATCTTCCTGTAAAACAAAATGTGACGCCTGCTTACGTCAACATGAACTAACTGATTTCAACCAATAATATCCTGACATTCACCCATCAATCAATCTTTTAATCATTTTAATAATTTAACTATTAGTTAGCTAGCTAGCTAACAGCATGGCTGAGCTCACTGATTTCTGTTCAATGTCGGTGAAACTGGATCAATATTGTCTGGTTTTCCCTCCGACGTCCTCCGGCTGCTCTGCCTCAACTCCAATGTAGCTATGGTTAGTGTGCAACTGATCAGGACTCAGCAGCCTCACAGTGAACAATCAGAGGACAGTTTGATAACAGCGGTACCGAAGTGAATTATGGAGTTTCCTGATGGACTTTGTGCTAAAAGAAGCTAACTGTTGCTAATGTTAGATGTTGTTAGCTTGTGCAGCTAACATTAGCCAACTTAGCCGGGGTGTCAGGAGCCAAACCCAGCAATAAAATCTCTCTGATTTCCATTTCACCCGGGCTTTAAAAAGGATTTCCCACCATGCATTTCTGTTTGATGCTGCTTAGTCCAGGACAAAGATCGTACGTAGAATCCACAGTGAATGTAGATGATGTGAATAACTCCTGTATTATTATTTGGTCCAGCTGCAGACAGGTCAATCATTAACAGACCCGCAGGAAGCAGAACCAACAACCCGACCCACCCTCCTTCCGGTCACCAGCCCCGCACCCCCAACCCCTGCAGACCGAGACCAAGACCCGTTTCTGGGTCCGTCTGAGTGTCTGGAGAAGAAGTAAGTGCATATTGAGTTATTTACATTGACACAGAGGCTTTAGTAGCTATAATCTGTCCGTTATTATTCTTTAGGTTAACTCGTAATTCATGTCACCTGGTGTTTTGCGCTCCGTGGGAGCGTTGCATCGAAGGGACCTGCTCCTGTAAGCCGCCGTACTTATGTCCCGTCGACAACACCACCTTCGTCTGTGGGCGGGACCACAGAACCTACACCTCCTACTGCCAGGTAATAATACTGCAGCTGGTTGGAGGAGCATCAACTTGTTGTACACAAATTTGCGATGTTATTTCAGCATCATTTTGATCCGTTTATTGCCATTAAATTAAATGTTTATTCATACCACCGCTGTAAACCAGATTAAAGGGTGAATATTTGTGTTGCTTTTGGTGGGAATGCAGTGGGAGTGTCGCCCTTTCAACAGGTTAGTAAATGTCATTAAAGCAGTTGTTAAATCTGTTTTCCAGGTTATGGCTTACTCGTGCCGCGTCAAACGACCCACCATGTCTCACTTTGGGCAGAAGTGCGGAGGTTCGCTCTCACGGATACATTCAGGGCTCTGTAATATTTGTATTTATATAACTTCTGTCACCTTTAACAATCTCTCTCACCGCAGCACCTTATGAAAAGTTCACGAGTTCACGGGACCAAGAGACGGGAGTGGTAACGGTCAACCTTCCTCAGGCTGGAAGCACCAGTGCGGAGAGGTTGCTGGTGTGCTGGAAGCTGTGGAACATGGCGACTGCTAACGTCTTCTGCAAGGAGCACGGACATCGACTGTGAGAGGAGACATATTCATATAATGCGCACTAGGGATGAGACGATATGCGTTATTATCGCGATAAAAGTAGGGGTGTAATATTGTAACATAGCAGCGATATTGTATCAATACTCAAAAACACTGCATCGATATTCGTGTTTAAACCGCTAGTTAGCAGCGCTGTAAACCGATGGCATTATAATATCGCAATATATCGCGATATATTGAAGTGTAACTCGCCAGAACACACAGCCCTCGATAAAAGACACTCAGTTTAAAAAAAATCAATTCTTCTGTAAGCAAGCTAACGTTAGCTGGCAGTATTTCTTCCACGTTATAAAGCAAGATAACGTTATCCAGCTAAAAGCAGAATCAGACAATATGTTCCACAAGCTTTGCAGCAATGTTAGCTTTGGACTTTGTGTTGTTGTGATGGACGTTACAGGACCAGTAGCATAACCTCGTGAACTGCTCGAGAATAAAAGCAACAATAAGCCGACAGAGTTCGTGTGTTTACAGCGGAGCGGCGAAGGCTGATTTCATACAAGGCAAATCCCTGATGGCCACCCACGGCAGGCAGTTCCCAGACGAATGTGTTAGCGTCCGCTGCCAAGGTTACGAGAATTCCCTCGCTGAGTGTGTAATCTATGACAAGATCTCCCTTGGCAACAGGAAGGTCGCTACGATAACCTGTTACGACGAATCGAACGCACCAACAGGTGAGTACGTACTGGTTTTATTATCTTCCACTGACGATTGTAATAAATATTAAATATTATTGTCCTCTGACCGAAGCTCCGTTAGCTCTGTTTTCCTGTATTGTGACATTTGTTTGTGTTTTAGAGGACGAGTGTGACTTCACATGTGTAAACAGGAAGTGTGTGTCTCTGAACCAGACCTGTGACGGAGTCGATGACTGTGGCGACCGCAGCGACGAGATGTGCTGCAAAAGTAAGCCGAACACACAGATAAATATCTTTTGTAACCTTCAGTAGTTTGTCGGGTCTTTTTCACGATGTGTTTATCAGGTTGCAGGAACCATGCTTTCCGCTGTAAGACCGGCGTGTGCGTGGATCGAGACGCACTCGGAGACGGACAGATCGACTGTCTGGATGGCGAGGATGAATCAAAGAAACACACAATGGGCAACAGTGAGATACATACACGCTCTAACCATCAAGGTGAACGTAGTGCCAGTTGCGATGTTTTAGGCATGTAAAGTGGTTGTAAGCGGTTCTTGGTTCTGGTGTTAGTTTTCCCCACCAAGAACCAATTCTTTGACTGTCGAAACGCACAGGAACTGGTTTCCAGAGCAGGCACTCGCTCCGAACCAGCCCTCAAACTGCCTTAACAGACTCACACACTTTATAAACTCCATCCATATAATTTTGGAAATCACTGAAACTTTTGCTCTTTTTTTCTGATTGATTTCGGTTCTGTGTTCAATATAAAATTACAACCAATAACAGTTGATGATTTTCTGGTAATCCAACAGACTTTAAAGGCAAACTTTTTAAAAGTGACTAAAAGAGTTAAATTTAGGAAATAGGACAACAGTTGTTTGCTCTGTCTGCTGTTTTTATGTTGTTAATGAAGTAGTTTCTGACATTTTACCTCCATCAGTCTTCTTTTCTGCACCCTGTTTTCATTATTTGTAATATATTTCTGCTTCCCACAGAGCACGTGCGGTTGCATCCACTACCTGAAAACACAAGTACGCCTAAACAGCAGCAGGTTGAACCTTTGAGAGAAAACTATTGTTGTTGTTAGTGGCGGTGATGGTAGTGACATTTGTTTTTTTTCCTTCTATTTCAGAGTACGTCAGTCCCAAAGAAGGTACGTGACCTCAACAGTGACACTTACAGCAGGTCTGATGTTTTTAGATTACAGCTGAGATTAAGTCATCCAATCACATCTCTCTCTAGAAACGAGGATCAGCCGACATATTCTGGAGTCCTCGCTAATGTGTGGGATCCCCAACATGACCAATGTGGACGACGAGGAGGTGAACGAGCGAGGACGGAGCAGCCGAGTTAAGAGGGTTGTGGGGGGAGTCCCAGCGAAACCGGTCAGTTACAAACAATCTTTGTATGATCTTAGATCAGCTTCAGCTCCAGGACAGAAAACAACCGCTGGTTTATATGATGTTCCCGCTCTGCAGACTCAGATCCAGTGGCAGATTGCGCTGGAAGAGAACCGGAAGATCGACTGTGGGGGCGCGTATATCGGAGGATGCTGGGTAATCACTGCAGCTCACTGCGTCAGGTAGGATGATGTTTAACAGTCATAGACACTGGAGAGCTTTTATAAATAAGTTGGTTGAACAGATACAGTTCAAATAGTCTAATCCTCTAATGTCCAAACCCAAAATAGTGACTCGCTCTCTCTCTCAGTAGTGACGGTTATAGTCTCTCACCCGTCTCTCTCCATCAGACCCAACCCGTCTGCCTTCAGGGTGAAGTTTTCTCTCTGGAAGAAGTCCAGAGCTCAGGGCACGACTGACATCGTTCCTGTGGCAGACATTCACATCCACCCTAGGTATCTGTCTACCTGTCTATCTATCTGTCTATCTGTCTATCTGTCTATCTATCTATCTGTCTGTCTGTCTGTCTTACTGTTTTTAATCTCCTGCAGATACAACGCCAGCTCCTATGAGAACGACATCGCTCTGGTGGAGCTGGAGAAACTTCCCTTCCAGGAGAAATGTTTTGAGGACAACCCGGCCGTGAGCGCCGTCTGCGTTCCCTGGTCGACTCACCTGTTCCAGCCCAACCACACCTGCAGCATCTCCGGATGGGGACGAACCGCAGGTAACATTTGTGTATCACCGGACAGGTTTAACGCACTGCTTTACATCTGTGCGATCGCTATATTGCGGAGCTCAGTTAACAATACTGAAAGATTCAGACTGTAACTCGCTTAATTCTGAACCCATTTTCATGAATGTTGGTTTGTTATAAATGTGAGAAATCGAGAGCTGAGTAATTCCAACCAGTAACCATCATCAGGTTTGTTTATAACAAACCAAACACCATTAAAATCAGTGTAGGATTAAGTGAGTTACAGTCTGATTCTCTCTGTTGTTAACTAGCAGATCTGACCTCCACAATATGGCGACCGCGCAGACGCACTTCAAATCGATACGCAGCATCTACGTTTCTATATCTATAGTCATATCTAATAAAGAAGAACTGTAACTTCAGTGTAAATATCTAAACTTAGTTTTCACTATATTTTAATTGAATATTAAAGCACGTCATGGTTACAACCAATATTTTATTAAACCAAAGCAAACCAGATTAAGTAAATTAAAATGCCAATTAAGGAAATGTTAATACAAATTAATTCAGTAAATATATTTTAATATCAATATTATTAGAATTTAAAAAGAATATTAATTTTGTGACATTAAACTGAACCAAAGTGATATTTAGTGAAGAGAATTTATTTACATTGAACAAGCTACATAATCATGAGTCTTTAATGAGCTCGATTGGAAGTGTAAAGAGTCTGTTTATTGATTGATGTTTATTGATTGATGTTTATTGATCAATGCGTCTACAGACGGGAGATCAGCTCAGGTGTTGCTCTGGGCCAACGTGTCCCTCATCGCCGACTGTCAGAGCTTCTACAGAAATCGCTTCAAACCGGGAATGATGTGTGCAGGTGAGCGAGGCTCCACACACACACACACCCACACACACCACACACACACACACACACTGTGCTAATGTGTGTGTGTGTGTGTGTGTGCAGGTGATCTGGACGGCAGCGTGGACTCCTGTCAGGGTGACAGCGGAGGTCCTCTGGTGTGTAAGGATGAACTCGGGGTTTCCTACCTGTGGGGCATCGTCAGCTGGGGAGAGAGGTGTGGTCAGCCAGGATTCCCCGGAGTTTATACACAGGTAAAATATATATATTATTATATATTTATATTTATTTATTATTATATTATATTGTTATTTTCTCTCTCTGACAGGTTGCTCATTACTTTGAATGGATCAGACATCACACAAAGTGGCCTGCAGTCACCAAGTTCAACTCCTGATGAAGACGAACACACGTAGGATAAATACACTTTGTTTTTATTGTCGCTGACAAACTTTGAATAATAATAATAATTTGTTTATTGATTGTATCTCACTTTGTGTCCAATAAAACTTCAATAAAGTATATTTTTCTGTTTCTATGGCTGACAATATACAGCTTACTGTCTGTTTCTTACTGAAGTTTATTGAATTAACATTCTGCTCTGTTTTTCTGAATCATTTTTATTATTTATTATTGTATTCTTTATGTATGTTTTAGGCTCAGGGGCCTGAGAGCTGACACTGAACATGGAGAGTGTTTAAGTGATTGCAATATGTTTACGTAGTTTCTGTAACTATTGGAAAATAAACAGTAAAGATTCACGTTTGTAAGCTAATAAGTTAATTGATCGAGTGTATACAAGCTGCTAAATGCAGGATAAGAACTTGGAAAATGTATTTTTATTTCACAGTGTCTTTAATAAAGGCAACTGGTTGTGATAGAAAAACACATGTTTCAGAAACAAAACGTACAAAAATGTGCAAAAATGACATTTAACGTCGCAAGAAAGGGAATTAAACAAACAGTCTCAGGTGGAGCTCTGAGTCTGAGCCACCGGCAGCTGAAGGGCTCGACTCAACCTGCTGAGATCCGCCTCGACCTGCACACACACACACACACACACACACACACAGTCATTATTAACTGATCATGTCTCTCACACTCGGAGTAACGAGCAGGAAGAGCAGATGTGTGTGTGTGTGTGTGTTAACGACCTTCGCCAGCTCGTCTTTCAGCTCGTTGTATTTCTGAACGTTGAACTTCTGTCGAGAAGCTTTCTGGTGGAAGAAGTGAAGGGACTGACGATCCCTCACCTGCGGACAGATGAAATCCTGCACACACACACACACACACACACACACACATACACACACACACACACACACACACACAAATATTAAAATATTTCCAGTTAAATATAATTAAACAACAAAAAGCTGCTCGTGCCTGTTTGGTGAGGATGTAGTAGCCGAAGAAGATCATGCTAGTGGTGTAGGTGATGAAGTAGGTGACTGGTTCCATGACGTCCCACGCAAACACATACCTGCACACACACACACACACACACACACACACACACACACAGTTACAGGATACCTGAGGACAGTGAACTCAGGATGTGTGTGTGTGTGTGTGTTTTATTACCAGGTGAGGTAACCCAGGAATCCTCCCTGCAGGGACAGGTAGGCCAGCCCCACCCAGCCCAGGACTGAGGCTCTGGTGTCTGCCTCCCGCGCCATCTCCACTCTCAACTGAACACACACACACACACACACACACACACACACACACACACACAAGTATATTGATATTGTTGTAGGACCATTTGTAGTTTGACTGGCAATTAACAATAGCAGCCGGTAGTCAGAGCTAACTGAGCTAACTGAGCTAATCAGCCATAAGAAGCTGCTGCCAGACTCTGTTTGTCCACTGGAGCTCTTACAGTCACTAGAAGCACATTCGTGACTGTTTGTAAAAGTTTCTGTGTGGAAGATTCTTGTGCTGTAACGTTAGCTAAGCTAGCGGCTCAGAGAGGCTAACTCTCCAGTGTCTGTGGCAGAGCGTGTCAGGCTAACGGCTACGTAGGAGGTCGCAGTCTGCAGAGGGGAGACGTTGGTTTTCAGTGTGTGTTATTGCAGTATTAGTCTACACTCATCTGGATAAGCCGGCGAGCACTGTGAGAGTCATGTTCTTTGACTTCATCCGTCCGGCTCTACTGGGGAGAAGATGGCTGCGATGCAGGTGGAGGCCCCCATCGTGTCCTGGATGGGTGATTACCTGACGGGCAGACCACAGTACGTACGCCTACTGAACTGTGTGTCTGACAGGGTGGTCAGCAACCCACAGGGGACTGTCCTCTCTCCCTTCCTCTTCACCCTCTTCACCTCAGACTTCAACTACTGCACCGAGTCCTGCCACCTTCAGAAGTTTTCTGATGACTCAGCAATAGTTGGCTGCATAGATAAGGGTGATGACAGTGAATATAGGACTGTGGTGGGCAACTTTGTCACTTGGACTGAGCTGAATCATCTACAGCTCAATGTGACAAAGACAAAGGAGCTCATAGTGGATCTGAGGAGGGCAAAAACACCAGTGACCCCTGTTTCCATCCAGGGGGTCCCTGTGGACACTGTTGAGTATAAGTACCTGGGGGTGTACTTTAATAATAAGTTGGACTGGACCAGAAACACCGAGGCTGTCTACAAAAAGGGCCAAAGCCTCTTTTTCCTAAGGAGGCTGAGGTCCTTTAACATCTGCTGGACGATGCTGAGGATGTTCTATGAGTCTGTTGTGGCCAGTGTGATCTTCTTCACTGTCACATGCTGGGGCAGTGGGCTGAGGGTCGCTGACAACAACAGACTAAACAAACTGATCAGGAGGGCCGGTGATGTCGTGGGGGAGGAGCTGGACACCCCTGAAGACCGTGGCAGAGAGGAGGAACAATGTCTCTCACCCTCTCTACGACACACTGGCCCAGCAGAGGAGCACCTTCAGCAGAAGACTCCTCTCACCCAGATGCACCACAGAGCGCCACAGGAAATCATTCCTGCCTGTGGTCATCAATCTCTACAACGCCTCCCTCAGAGAGTCAGACACCCCCCCTCTGTAATCTGACCTCAAACACAGACAACCACTTCTGCACTTTCTTCTTTCTTGCACATTTTCACTACACTTTACCTCGTGTACATAGATATGTTCTTAATAATATTATATGTTGTATGTAGATTAGGAGTTGTAACAGAATTGATTACCGTCTCCAGCGGCTGCAGCTCCAGTCGCAGCTCTTCCTGTCGGAGTTGCAGCTCTCTGTGTTTGATGAGTCGCTGTTGAGGAAGACTCAGAGCCGAGTGCAGCAGGTGGACGATGTACTTCATATCATCGGGACCGAGCATGTGTTCATGGGACGACCCTGACGGACACACAAACACACGAGCTACTGATACTGACCCTGCTTCCTGTCTTTATGCTAAGCTAACCAAACACACACACACACACACACACACACACACACACACACACTGTACCTTGTCCAAAAGAGCAAACGTTGTGTGTGACGTCATTGATGACCAGTTGAAAATCTTTGTGTAAAACAGTTTCCATGCAGGTGCACGAGGAGATTCTCTGTCCGTCTGAGGGAGGAAATAAAGTTTTTACAACGCGAGGACTATTGACACTTCCTAAGCCCCGCCCCTTTTTTGCTCTGTGCTCCAATCACAGTTGAGCAACCTTTCCCGTTTACTGTTAGCAGCTACGTGTGCGTTTACCTCCGTTGAGCAGGCTAACGGTGTGCACGCTGGCGTCCTTGGCTGTGATGTCACGCAGCAGGTCACCCACCGTGGTCAACATCGGCGTCAGCGTGAAACGATGCTGCTGACCCGCAGGGAGGCGCACGGAGAGGACGGGGCGACCGAGGCTGTAACGAATAGACACATCTGAGAGAGAGAGAGAGAGAGAGAGAGAGAGAGAGAGAGACAGAGAGAGAGAGACAGAGAGAGAGAGAGAGAGAGAGAGAGGGAGATTTTGATTTTTGAACAATACTTTATTTACATTTAACTAACTGTAACAAACAGTTACACAATCAATAGATCAGTTGAGGAAGGATGTGAACTTTAACTCTCCACCGGTCACCCGGCACAACAGCTCCTCATGAGCCCACTGCTGCTCAAACACATCTGTATTCCCTGTGACCCTGTGGAAGCAAAACTCCAGCCTCAGTCTGGCCTTCACATTGTACCTCCACAGGGTCACAGGGTCAAGGGTCGGCCCACCCTGCAGTCTGTCCCTACGAGTCAGGTATATCGACATTTTAGCCTCACCAATTAAAAAGTTTAGGAGTCGACACTTTACTTTTTCTGTTTTTTTAAAACCAACTCCACAAATAAAAACAGGGGCAGTAAAAATGACACCAAATAGATTAAAAACACGAGTTAAAACGTTAAAAATGTCTGCCAATCTCCTGCACTCAGTAAAAACATGGAAAATGTTCTCAGTCAGTCCACAGAATGGGCACTCCTTTACAACACTGTGATTAAGAACAGATAAAAAGGCATTGGTGGCAATGGCACCATGTAAAATCCTCCACTGGAGATCTCCAGTTCTTTTTTTAGAGGAGGTTTGTATAATGTTCTCCACTGGGGGCTCAGCCCACCCAGCCTCTCAGTCCACACACACTGCGCTCTGTCACACAGGCGAGTTTTGTGGATAGTTTTTACACAGTTTGTGTACAGAGTTTTTTTGTCAGTCTTGTGTAGGCTCAATGTACTCCCATCATTGTGTCTCAGGAGGGGGCCGCTGAGCTCTGTGAAACCAGGGCACAAGTAGATCTCGGGATAAGGGTCTGTGGGGTCCGGCTCAGCCTCTCCCCTGCCGTATTTGAGGAGAAGGATTCTCTCCTTCTCCGTCAGCCTCCTCCTCCAGAGCTCTAGGCTCCTCTGCGTCAGCCGGACAGAGCGCACCCCCAGCACAGAGCCCAGAGAGTGGACATCTGTGAGCTCTGGTCCTGCTGCATCTATCAGTTGTTTGAGGCAGACAACTCTTGAGCTGCACAGCACCCCCATCAGCCCAGGCACAGTGCTGCAGCACACGTCCATCTTTGCACCACAGATTATAGGCTCCTTTAATAACCAGTGCAGAGAGTTACACTTCTCACTTCTTTTACATTTAAAAAGCCCCCAGGATTTAAAAAACACCCTGATAAAAAGGAGGCAACCCACCTAACTTTAAGAATTTAAAATCAGTTAAAAACAGAGCAGCATCCAGCCCCAGGTTATTGACACGCCTGAGTATGCAGCTGGCCACGTCTCTCCACACCAGATCTTCAGGTCCAGTCAGATACTTTTGAATGAACTGGAGCCTGAAGGTGGCTGTCCTGCTAGCCAGGTGGACCAGGCCCTGGCCCCCTCATCTCTGGATAAAAACAATACAGACTGTGGTATCCAGTGCAATTTGTTCCAGAAGAAATTGACAATCTTCACCTGGATCTGGGCAATGAGACCTGTTGGAGGGTCCAGACAAGCTAACCGGTGCCATAACATGGAGGCCACCAGATTGTTTAAAATTAGGACCCTCCCTCTAAAAGATATTTGTGGGTGAAGCCACCTCCACTTAGCCAGTTTGTTATCTACTGTTTCTAAAATGTTTTCCCAGTTTTTTTTTCAATGTCGCTGTTCCCGAGATAAATACCGAGATACTTTAAGCCTTCTCTTCTCCATATCAGGCTTTGAGGGAGAACAGGGAGGCCCTCCCGCCATTCACCAACAGCAAGAGCCTCGCTCTTCCTCCAGTTCACCCTCGCAGCCGACACAACAGAAAACTTCTCGATTACAGAATTTAAAACACACACATCCTGTTGATCTTTGATAAAAACAACGACATCGTCAGCATAAGCAGATAAAACAACACTACTGTTAAAACCAGGTAAAAACAGGCCTCGAACAGATGATCTTATCTTTTGTAGGAGGGGTTCCAGGGAGAGTGCATAGAGCATCCCAGACAGGGCACAGCCCTGTCGGACGCCTCTATGCACTCTAAAAAGGAGCACACAAGCCACCATTAAACTTTAGCACACTCTCAATGTCACTGTACAACACCTTGATCTTGGCTATGAGACCAGCGCTGAACCCAAACCTCTCCATGACCTTCCAAAGGAAGTCGTGTTCAACGCGGTCAAAAGCCTTTTCTTGATCTAATGAGATCAATCCAGTGTTTATGCCTAATGAACTGGAGACCTCCAAAACATCCCTAATGAGGTAGATATTATCTACCATAGACCTGCCGGGCACACAGTACGTCTGGTCCCGGTGGAGAATCTGCTCCATGGTTCCTTTCAGCCTATTGGCCAGGACTTTGGACAGTATTTTGTAGTCAGTGCAGAGGAGAGAGACAGGACGCCAGTTTCTGATTTCTTGCAAATTGCCTTTCTTGGGCAAGAGGGTAATTACGGCTCTCCGACATGAGAGTGGCATTGACCCAGACACCAGGCTCTCATTAAAAACATCTATGAGGTCATGGGCCAAGATGTCCCAGAAGGCTTTGTAGAACTCTACAGTGAGGCCGTCGATGCCTGGAGCCTTTCGTCCCTGCATGCTCTGCAGTGCCGCGTAGAGCTCTTGTGGAGTCAGTGGGCTGTCGAGCTGCTGGTTAGCCTCTCTAGACACCTGAGGAAGTCCACCACAGACCTCCTCCATCAGTTCTTCGTTCTCCTTGAACTCACTCTCAAACAATGAGGCGTAAAACTCCACAGCTCTTTGCCTTATCAGGCCTGGCTCTGTCAGCTCTTGCCCTGTCTCAGAGAGCAGAGAGTGAATTTGTCTCCTCTGCCCTTGTTTCTTCTCAAGCCCAAAGAAGAAACTCGATGGAGCATCCATCTCCGTGATGTTTTGAACCCGGGACCGGACCAGCGCACCCTGTACTTTAGTGTCCAGCAGGTTGGCTAAAGCCATCTTTTTTAGTCTTGAGGATTTCAATATATCCTCGATTTCCTGTGGACTCACTTGTACACTCGAGATCCACAATATCAGTCTCCAGATCTCTGATAGATCTGGTGATGTCGCGTGTGACATTGAGCGTGTGCTGCTGACATAAAAGTTTAATTTGAACCTTTCCATGGTCCCACCACTGCCTCAGACTGACAAACTCGGTTTTTTTCTGTTTAAAATCATTCCAAAAATAACTTAAAGCCTCCTTGAAAGATTTATCAACAGTTAAAACAGAGTTAAAATGCCAATAGGCACTTTTGGGTAAAATGTTTCTGATAAAAACATTACATAAAACCAAAGAATGATCAGTAAAACCAACTGGTAAAATCTTACACATTTTAACAACACTGACTCTGTGCTTAAAAACATAAAACGATCAAGTCTGGCCAAAGAGATTCTGTTTTCTCTAACGTGGGACCATGTATACTGTCTGCAGCCTGTGTGCATCCTTCTCCACACGTCCACCAGGCCATGGGAGGAGACCAGCTGCCTCAAGGCATGCTGGGATACTGGATGAGGCTCTGCATGGTTGCGATCTAAAATCTCATTTTCAGTACAATTAAAATCCCCACCCACAAATAAATAATCCTCCGGGCCACAGCTGTTTAAAATATCATTCATATTTTCAAAGAAGTGTTTCCTCTCTGCACCGTTGTTTGGAGCATAAATGTTGATTAAAAACCACATTAAAATGTTCAAAACGAGCTCTGACTAAAAGACACCTCCCCTCCACAACATGCCTGACCTCCAGAGAGGTTGGAGTAAAACCTCTGGAGAACAGGAAGCCCACTCCTCCACTGAGGGTGGTGTTATGGCTTAAAATCAGTTCTCCTTCCCATTCTCTGTTCCAGTCTGCCTCGTTTCCAACATCACTGTGAGTTTCTTGTAGAAACAGAACATCAATATGTTTCATTTTAGCCGTTTCAAACACTACTGCTCTCTTTCTTGTTTCTCTGGCACCATTGACATTCAGACTGCCCACTTTAAAAACATTCATAATGATGGAGATGTTAAGAACAAGACTAAAAACAATCAATGAAATAAATAAGAATAAAATCCCTACATTCACCATCATTAAAAACTGAGTTGTTTTCTGACTTTAATAATCAGTTTTTTCAGTCTGAATATTTCTTGGTCAGTCAGCTCTGACTCTGCTCTGTGTTTCACAGTATACCTGGCTGAGTTATAGAAACCCTGCATATCAGGGAAGTACTGCTCTAACACTGGCTTCCTCATCCCTTTGGTCTGTTGTAAAAAAAGACTTCAGTACATTGGCAGTATACACCTGAGCAGCAGCCTGCTGAGTGTGAGACAGGTCACTGCTGTCAGACACACACCCTTCACTGTCACTGCTGTCAGATAGAGCTGCTCTGTTCTCTGCAGCACTCGGTTTACCGGCCAGACGTCCGGCTTTACCACCCACCTCCACGGTCAACATGCTTCTCCTCTTACTGCGCTGTTTAAGAGGAGCAGACCCCACCCAGACTCACAGGCCTCCATCTCTTCAGCCTCAGCTACTGTGCTCCCCTCACTCAGCTCACCTGCTAGTTTACCTGTCTCACACGACTCACCTACAGCCTCACCTGCCTCTCTCACCTTACCTGCTTCACACTGTTTACCAACGACCTCAAATCCTTCACACAACTCACCTGTTCTTTTACCTGCCTCACCCAACTCACCTACAACCTCACCTGCCTCACCCAACTCACCTACAACCTCACCTGCCTCTTTCACCCCACCTGGTTCACCTACCTCTTCTAGTTCACCTGTTACTTTACCTGCCTCACCCACTTCACCAGGAACCTCACCTGCCTCTCCACCGACACCTGTTTCACCCACATCCTCGACCAATTCACCTGCACCTTTATCTAAAATACCACCTGTCACCCCCACCTTACCTGTCACCTCACCCGTTTCCCCTCCCACCTCCTCCCTCTCACTACTCACCTCAGTGC